AGCTCTCTAACTTATTAAGCCCTAAAAACACAAAAACGCCTACACCCTGGAGATGTTGCAAGAACAGAATGAGAGGGGAATTTGTTATCAGGGCACTGCAAGGTGGAGTGAGCAGAGATGACCTTGGATGAGATTGCACATTTGAGGGCAACACATCTGTAATGAGACAGTCCACCCCTGGAACTATAGAGCATTTCATTTTGGGATGAAATTCCCAAAATTGGGATGAAATTCCCAAAACTATGGTGCAGGAAAGAGAAAAAGAGGCCAAAGTGTCTGGCCCCACTGCACTTCACGATTAGCAAAAGATGCATATAGAATGAGGGAGGTACTAGATATTCTGCAGAACATTTGGAAACAAATAAAAATTACATTTCCCACCCAAGCTTTTAAGCAAGAAAGAAAATTCATATAGTCTATACTGATTTAAGTACAGACATAACTGTGTTGGGGTCATGGGACATTTATACAATACAAGGCATCGCTTTTGTACAAACTCTGAAATGAGCTAAATATTCCTATCATGTGATTGCGATTGATATTTCCAAACCTCATTTATAAAAATAGACATATGTGTGTAATTTATATATCTAGAGACATTTGGAGACGTTGCCACAACAGAGTCTTTCACGAGCTGTTTATGTGGAACCGTGGGAGAGTGAAATTAATTATCAGTGTGGTACGTGTTTGCCTCTAAAAATTGTATGTGACAATAAGCCATGCTTATTGTGCTGGCAATAACATTTGTTCCGAACTGTGTGACTCCTGAGTGAAAACCTAGGTTGAGGCATAGTTTAATCTCATGCAGGCTCTGATGATCCATCTGAACTGTAAATGCAAGGTCACATCATAGGATGGCTACTTTTGTGACAGAGAAAACCCCACAGTACCTGCAGCCAGAGGGAATGAGAAGAGGTACCTATGTAGTAGTGTGACAAAAAGGTTTAAGAAACATTTAGAATAATGGGTCATTTTAAAAAGAATATTTGACAGTTCCGAGCCAGTAGCTAAAGGAAAACTTAAATTATTTTAAAAGGGATTAGATGAAAAAGATTTGGGAAGCTTATTTATTTTGTTTTGATGTTTTAATTTTAATTGTTTTTAATCTCTCTTTTGAGCAATTTTAATCTGTCATTAGCTGTAAAGAGTTCGGGATATTTTTGCTAGAATTGTAGGAAATTAAATATATTGCTGATCATTATTATTTTATCCTCTCTCATTTTACTACTAGGAATGATTAATTTTGAATGGGGGAGTATATTAAAAAACACTGATTTGCTAATATGTATTTCTATTCAGAATCTGAATGACCTTGTCCTTCTTCAAAATCATATTGAATATTTTAGGCCCATTTACATCAAACACAGTTTATTTACTTGAGCTAAATTATGCATTTATTTTAGAATGTTGTGGGAATGGATATTAGATGGGCGCTGTTCTTGCAATACGGACACAAAGTGGTAGCTAAATCAGTCCTATGGAAATAATATGAGAATTTGATAAACCCAGACAAAAAGAATGCTCCTGGCCTATCATGGTGGTCATGAGAGACAAATAGTTCTCTCATTTAGGATGGCATTATAAACTGAAATCTACAGTACAAAGCTTTGCTCATTCAAGAGTATTTCAGCAAGTGGAAAATATCTCTTTGCAAGCTTGAGTAAAGGGGCCAGCATAATTTTCCTGAGGATAATCAGAATTACCAGAGTCTGCCAAACGTTTAAAATCAGTTAAAATTCTGCAGCCAAAAACATTCCTACCATAATTCCACTGAAGATTTTGTGACCTTATTGTTTTGGCTGTGTTGCTGCTGAAAAGGGAACATATTGGGAGAAAAACTAAGAAAGAGAACTAGCTCAAAGAATATAGATATACAATATATAGATGTTAATCTTTTTGCAGTATCACAACTACTGTCAGCAGAGAACGGTTTAATGGGATCAAAGTGAACTAAGTGCTACAAGTGCAGCTGGAGTAGAAACATGGTTCTTTCAGTACTGATTCTTTGATTCTTTTAGAGGAGTCCTGCTGTGCTTTTACTTGTTTTAATGGTCAACTTTATAGCAGCATCTATCCTTTTAGAGTGTATGCTGCCACAATCTTCTCATATGTGTCCATATACACACATATATAATGTTACACACACATTAAATTGAAATATATAAATTGCCTTGGCCAGTTTTTCCTGCTGTGACAGATACACCATGAAAGCGCAGAGCTGTGTGAACTTTTCTTTACTAGTAAATTAGGCAATAACTGTCTAGCTGGAGAGGAACAGCAGCATGGAATACTCAGAGTAGGTTCATAGTTAACTGGAACGGCATCTTTAAGAGCAGGGAAAATATGAAAAAGAACTGTCAATTGCCAATGTCTCGAAAGATGTATATCTATTAGACAGAGAAAAAAAAAATCTGTTTGATATCTCACCCTGTAGGTTCCATGACAAATCTTTTGGTTTCCTGTCTCCATCAAAAATAGCTTTAATGAAACAGTAAAACTACTGCAATGTAAATATAGGGCTTTCCTCCTTAGCATGCAGGCACAGCCACTGAAATTTGCAAAGAAAGAGACAGATCACAGAAAAAGCAAAAACCCCACTGACCTCAACAACAAAAAATCACTGTAATTCTTACACTCCTATAACACATGCTTCTATATATGCATCTATGTTTGAGTACACATTGTGTACAGATGCACATATATTCTCCTTCTGAAGAGCTGTTACTTTCCCCACCCTCCTTAGTTGCCATTTAAAATATTGGCATTAAATTATTAAAAAAATAGGAAAAGATAAACCAAACACTTTACCCAGGTGCATCCATTCATTTGAGTAAAAGTATCTGCACATTCACGTCTGCTTTATACGTCTCCAAAAAATGTAGCCTTCCCAGTGTTTTCTCTGCGTGTTGCTTTTAAAATTGTCATTCTAGATTGAAAAGCACCAAGAAGCAGAGGAGAGCAGGAGAGAAAGAGCGAATATGGAGCAGAGATACGAGTTTGACCTGTGAGCGAAGATGAAGCCAAACTCCCAAGGAGCCTCTGGCCGGTTTCCCTGCTGCGCCCTCCCTGTGAGTCCTGAGTCCCGGTGTGTAGAAGCAAGCCGAAGCTAGGAGTTCGCAAGGCATGAGGCATGCAGCGTACTGAGAGTTAACGATTTCAGCCCCAGAGCAACCAGAGGATGGGTTACAGTAAAGGCAGCTTCACAGCTCCATGCCTGCCCAAGAAATCCGGAGCGTTTAATTTCAGAAAAGCCCCTTAGGATGCAATGGAGATGAGGAAGAAGTTTATGAAGCCTTGGTGGTGGGGGGGTGGTTTCCTTTGGTTTTGCTCTGCCAGCCCGGGATGGCTTGTAGAAAGCAAAGGGCTCCCAATTTACCTTTCCCTGAAGCTGTGTCCCCCCATTTGCATCCCCGTTCCATGGCAAGCTGTGGAGCAGGGCTGCAGCCGCAGCTGCCCCCGGAGCTGCGCGGGGGTGGAGATGGGGTGGGGGGCGGCCGCCTCAGCACACCCCTGCAGCTCCCTTCTCCCTTCCTCTGCCGGATCAACCTTCCGCGGCTTTACTCCGGGCTGCCTCCCCTCTGTGGTCAGATCCCCTTTGCCCTCAAAGCAAGCAGCATCTCCATTTTCCATCCTGCTGCTATTATTTGCACAGGACACGTTTAGTATCCCAGGAACACTTGTAGTTTGCTTCCTCCTTCACTTGCTGGGATCAAATCTGCAATTTCAGGGGTTATTTTCGGCAACAAGCTTTGCGTTCGGGAAGCGCGGCTGGAAGAAGAGCGAGGCGCTTCCCAGAGCAGCAGCAGCTCTTGCCAAAGCGGGGCGGCCGAGCTGCCTCCTGCCCTGCTGTCCGTGGCGCGAGTGAGCGTGGGAGACAGGACCTGACCGGCTGCCCGCCCCGCGTCCCCACTGCCCTCGCAGCTTGCAGGCGCTGTGGGGGCTGCTGCTGCTGAGCAACAACACATTGCTTTAAACTCAGCCTCAACTTCCCACCGCAAGGATGGCAGCACTGGTGGAGCTCTGGAGCTGCCCAGCGAAGCGGGGAACCTGCGTTTTGTTTGCCGCTATCTAATACGTGGGAGTAAAATGGAATTTCTTACTTGGCTTTTTCCTGCCTTACTCCTACTGTGCACACAGCAGCACAGGTGTATCAGGTAAGAATGCATCTTGTAATTTGTCCTTAGAGCAGTCTTAGGACAGCTTTTCTGTATGTGTGGGTGGCAGGAAAGGATACCAGGTTTGTGGCTGTTACTCGTGTCCCTGCTCTGAGCTCCCAAACCCACCTTTGCCCACAGATGGTCTCCTTTTGAGGGCTGCAGCTATCTGAGTTTCGGTGGGAAAAAGGGGTCTCGACTGAGAGTTCTTTCCTCCAAGGTGCTCTGTACCTTTTGTGTTTTATTTCCCCCTAGGAAAGGATGCATTTCTGCTAATTGATCTGCAAAGTCTTGGGTTAATCTAGGGTATGTTTTTAACAGCTGGCTTAGGGAAGCACTTTAACCTGGGGGTGATCACCTTTTGTAGCAGCACTGTGCATCATAGAATCCAGCATCCTAGGGAAGCCTCACGCCAACTTTCCCCCAAAAATAGCTCTGTAGGGGACCTGGCTGGACAAGAAACCCTTAGTAAAACGCAGCACAGTCACTGGGGCACCAACTGAACATCTTTGCCTACTGCATTCACAGACATTATTTTTAAAAACCTCAAATGTAGACATTCTTCTGCTAAGGAGTTTAAGTTACCTGGACCCAGGATAAGAGGAAGAGACTGCAAAAGAGCTTATTAAAAAAAAAAAAAGTTTGAGGATAGCCAACTGCTTTTTAAGAAATAATAAATTGTGAAGATGAATGTTTGCAACTGTCAGTCACATTTATTCAGAAGATGTTAGCTAGGCAACCGACTATGTTCTCTCTATATTCTCTACAGATCTGGAGGCTGCATGTGGAGAAAGCTTGCTGTGATTATGCAACGAAAACAGAGTGGGGGGGAAGCAACTTGGCACATGTAAAAACAGGTCCACATCGTGCAGAGTGGAGAGGGCTGTGGCATTCAAGAGGTCTTCCTGCTTTTATTTTATAGACATTGTTAGTAGTTTCAGAGGAGAATTAGGGGAAAAGTGATGATTGTAGTAAGATGTAATTCTGTTGTTTCAGTTTTTGAAACAACAGTGAGATCTGATTATTTTACTGGAAAGGAGAAGTGTTTTGGATTAGAGGCCGAGTGTCAGGTCAAGTCTTGTTGTTCAGGACCTGACTTAATGATTCACCTGCGACCTTGAACCTGTTATCCAGGGCCATATCCTGACACCCCCATGCTCTGATGTGATCAGGTATTTAATTGAAGGCAGAGATAAAGATACTGTTTATGATCTAAAAGGCATCAAGACCTGCCCCATGATGTCAATGAGTCTGTCTCTCTGCGCTTTGACTAGCCTTAAGTATTTTGCTTGAAAATTACCATTTCAGTACAAAACAAACAAAATCAATTTTAAGGAACAATCAGTCTTCTCAGTTTATGGCTTCAAGGTCTGTTTTTAAACATAGTAACAGCCAGGATATGTGCAACCCTTAATTTGTTAGATAAATCATTTATTGTTTGATTAACTGCCTAGTTACTTGGCCTTTTCCAGTTACACAATCATGCTGAGTTGTTGTTAGAAATACATAAACCAATCAGGTTAGAAAAGGCAGCTTCTAGCATGTGAAATTCAATATTTGAATATTGCTTAATACTGTAAAAGTGAGTAAATTTGCTTCTTTGCTTATATATGTACTTTAAAAAGAAATTAAAAACATTTTACTTTTACCTGAGAAACATTACTCACACCTCTGTGACCCCTGACTATGAAATAATTCCCTTTTTAAGAGCTAAGGAAGTATATTAATTGTCTTATTCTTCTTTCTTTAAGTCCTAAAGGAAATAAGGGTTTTGATGTTCATAATATTACCATCACTCAAGTCTAATGCTTTTTCAATTACATTTCAAAATATAGACCATATTTATAGTGAGTTTCACTTAGAGTCAGGAATGGCAGATGGAAAGGATACACATGCTGCCCTGGATAATCCTGGAGCCTGACAGAGGACAGATTGTTCACTGACCTTGCTATATATTCCTTGTATTTTTTTTAACCAAGAAAATGTTTTCTTCAGTGGCAGTGACATCTGCAACATTTGCCCTCAAAGGATTATCTTAAAGGGAAGGAAATGTACTCCATCCCAGTGCTCAGTATCACTAAAACTGGTGTTTCCATCTTCCAAGTTAATACATTCAGTCTGTAGGTATTTCACTGCCCCTAAAAGAATCAGATTATCAGATTTAAGGAAGAAATGGGAGATGTAGAAAATGATTTTTCACATCTTTTCTTACTGCTATATGCATTTGTGAGAAGGTTAACAGCTTCCCTGGAAGTGTAACTTAAAATCAGCCTGGAGTATGGGATGTATGTACTTTTAATTCTAGAACACAATTCTGAAAGAGATGTATTTCTCTGATTTGTCATTTGAGGTCTGTTGTTGAGTTGCTTTCTCTAAATCATCAGGTTGACACAGGTCAGGACAGGTTTGCTAAGCAGAACTCTTCATAGTGTTTCCAGGTTTCACAATGCCAGTTTCTTCTTTCCTTTGCCTAATATGCAAAAGAATTAGAATTTCACTTCATTTTAAACAGAAATCTGTCTTCTACTGCTAACCTCTGGCCTTTTTGAAGTTCTCACAGTGCTGAATTTCCAGATTCGGACTCATAAAAATACATTCTCTGGAATATCTGCTTGAAATTAGATTATATAGAGGGAGAGTACAGATTAAAAACATTTTCTTCAGCTTCAAGTTTGGAAAAGACTTCAAGATATTGGTAGTCATGAGTATGTTGCCATTCAGTCGGCTAGGCAGCCCTCTCTGGCCTGGTGCAAAGTAAAGATAAGGTTTTTGATGCTAAGCCCCTTACATTTTACAAATCTATAGCTTATTTTATAAAGTCCCTTTCTTATCAAAACAAGCTTTACAGAAGTTTACGTCAGGAAATTAACTTGCTGAATCAAGTAAGAATAGTTGCCTTTCTCTTCATCTTTATTCCTTATATTATAAGTTAATCTCTTCCAAAGTGTGTTTGTTTTCTATGCTGGTCTTCCTTTTTTTTTTTTTTTTTAGGTAAAATATATGAATAATCCTTTAGGCCACATATAATCCCCACTGCTTATCAAGGATGAATGAAATTCTACAGTCATCCTCACGTAACTGTAATGCACTGAATCTGATGTATAGAAGCCTACAGGGATGGCTAACAAGGATGGAGTTATCACAGCCTGGCCTGTTAAACTGCCATGAAATTAACGCCATGCTTTCTAAAGTCATCCTTCTTGACTGAGGACTGCAATACTATCACTTAACAGTCGTAGTTATATTTTCAAAAATTAAAATAGAACTAAAAGGATTCTATATATGTATGAAAGATTATATGTATGCTTGACTTCATTGTTTCTCTTCTGCTTCTTCAGTGAGATAAAAGAGAGGAATGGGGGAGAGAACCTGGGCTGATTTTAGCCCTGAAAAGCTCAATTCACACAGACAAGAGAATAACTTGAGCACATTTACACCACACAGAATCACACACCCAAACGGTTAGCCCATGCCACGAYATTCCTTCTGTCTGCATTTCCCCCCTGCACTTCATTATCCTCTATGTCAGGCTGACAAAATAAAATTTGGAGAATATGGTTGTTTAAAGCGATTACTTACTACCTGGTAATTTAAGGGCAAAATATAGGTTCTTCATGAGAAGCATAATATTAGCAAAATAGTGATCTTAGTGATCACTAAAAATGAAACTGTGGGTTATTCTGATTTACATATTCTCTTTGAGCATCTGGTAGTCATACTGTGAGCAGCATGCTAGTGTATGAGAACGACAGTAGCTGAGTAAGAGTAATTTTATTGCCCATTTCAAATTAAAATAAAATTAAATTAAAATTAAATTAAAATTAAATTAAAATTAAATTGAAATTAAAATTAAATAAAATAAAACAAAAGCAAACTAGTAGTACAAACATCAAAAAAGAAAATCTAGCCATAGAATTATTTTAGCTGTCATACACTAATATCCTCCATGGGCATTAAGTGGATATAACTCCACTAACTTCAACAAATTTGTTACACTGATGATCTGACCCTAAAGCTTTATTAATAATAGAAACAATTTTTTTTTTAATTGTGTCATGGATATTTAAGTAAAACTCCCTCTAGATTATAATCGGCTTAAAATGCATTGCAAGCTATGGCCCACAATTTTTAACCCTAGACTCTCATTTTAACTTCCTTTTAGCTCTATGTTTCTCCTTAATGCCATTACAATTTAATACTGGCACAGGATAATGATATGTTATTGCCACAGGAGAGAGGTCACTACAACATTTCAAGTCCATTAATTTTTCTGTAATACTCAGTTCTTTATCCTGCTTTGTCCATTTCAATTAGCCTTTCACAAAAGAGAGCTAATTACAAAATCATTAGACATTTCCAAATGAACCTGAAATTAAGTTGCCATAGATTCTCTAACAAAGCACATCAATAAGAGACAGTTCTTGTCACCTCAGTGACAAGGAACAAAATCTTCAGGTGAGTAAAGCATATTGACAGCATTTTGATGATTTAGACTGATAAAATTTACAGTTCTAATTTACTTTTCTTAGTTTCACTCAATGCATATAAAACACCAATCATTTGTAAAATGCTCTTTAGTTACACTGAGAGGAAAAATAGTGAACTCACTTTATCAGTGTAACTGGATAGCTGCAGATTCCTAAGCCGAAAGCCTGAGTTTCCAGTCTTGCTCCACTTGCTTTTTCATTCATTTTTTTTTCATGGTAACAGGAAAACAAACCTCAAGCTCTTTTAAATTTTGATTTCACTTCTGTAGGGGAAAAAATGCTAAAGAGCTGTGTGCTTTGGGCTTGTATCTCAGAAAGTGGCCAGCTTATCTGAAATCTGTTTTGATTTAAACAAAAAAGTTTCCACTAAATTACCTGTTCTGCTGAATTGATTATACTCTATGTGCTCTCTGGTATAAAAGAAGCTAATGTCTTCCATTTTCTCTTATTTTTGTTTTTCTAAAGAGGGCTAAGTTTTAAAAACCACTTATTCTCTTTATCTAGAGCTATGAATGACATTGGAGATTACATAGGTTCCAACATCGAAATATCCTGGTTGCCAAACCTGGATGATTTGATGAAAGGGTATGCACGTAATTTCAGGCCTGGGATTGGAGGTGAGACTTTGAAAATTATGTCTGTTGTTTCTGACAGTGCTGCTACTCTCTGATGTTTATGTGTATTTTATGCTTGATTAAAGGGTTGTAATTATCTTGCACTTGGATACTAAAAATAATAAAGATCAACAATTTGCTTGTTGTGCACTCAGAAAATGTGAGGTTTTCTTTACAGTATGACACAATTAGAAACATACTCTTCCTGCTGATATACTTCAACTGAAGTAATTTGAATCACATTAAATTGTGAAAATTTTTACATTTGCTTGAAGTTATGGTGTGTCAAACTAGATGACGTGATTTCCAGCATGAATTCCATAATTTTCAATAGTTGTGATTATACCTCATTTTCTGCATAGGAGAAGAGAGGTGTTTTGCTGAGACTTGAGGACACACTATGTAAAAGATTGAAATTTCTTGCTGTAAGGAAGATTTTATTTGGAAAGTAAACTATGCCACAGATTCTCATTCTAACACTTTTTTTCTCAGGTCCCCCTGTTAATGTTGCTCTTGCAATTGAAGTAGCCAGCATTGACCACATCTCAGAAGTTAACATGGTATGTTGTCATCTAACTACCAAATTATGAATAGCTGTATTGCAATGACAAGAAATGTAGAAGCCTAAGTAAATAGAGAGTTTTAAGTAGTATATCCTGTTAAGAAATAAAAGAAGGAAGAGATTTCTCAACATGTCTGGAGTGGATAAATTACCATATGAAAATATTGCAAAGAACAAATGTATTTTAAGGCACAGGGCGATTCACTTTGAGCAGAAATTGGCAATTATAAGACTTTAGCCAGGTAAAGCCTTTGGGCTGTCTTACTACAGTTAAAAAGGTTAGAACTGCCCTTATTAAGGGGAAAAAAGTTTTAAGCAGCAACCTTCCACTTAAACTCCTTTTCATATTCCTAATCCTTCACAGATATTCCTAAAAGACTTTGAGGGAACCATTAGTTGTGTATAAGATGCTTCTTATCATATACAGGTCTGAATAAAGCAACCAAGTACAACATACTGCAGACAAACAAATGCAGGCAGGATTTACCTGCATTTCTGAAACACGATAGATTTAATTTTAAAACCGAAATTTGCGTTCCACTCCAAATTTTTCACCAAATCCCAAGGCACTGTTGTTGTGTTTCTTTAGCATCATCTGTTAATTGTGAATTCTCTTGTCACAGGAATATACCATGACAGTGTTTTTGCACCAGAGCTGGCGAGATGACCGTCTGTCTTACAACCACACCAATGAAACTCTGGGGTTAGACAGCAGGTTCGTGGACAAGCTCTGGTTGCCAGATACGTTCATAGTAAATGCCAAATCTGCCTGGTTCCATGATGTGACTGTGGAAAACAAACTTATCAGGCTCCAGCCAGATGGGGTCATTTTATACAGCATCAGGTGAGCACGACAAAATGAATCCAGATACACTCTCCCATGTGTGTTATCCTTTCATAAAGACTGTAAAGCAAGCCACTTGTTTTTTTCCTGGGATTTCTTTTTTTTTTTTTTACTGGAATTAATGATTGACTTTAAAAAAAATTAAAAATTAAAAAAAGAAAGTTCTCATCACTTCTTTCAGGGATCCCTTTGCTTTGCAAAGATTGTATTATTGGAAAGGTGTCTTCAGCAACACCAGTGTTTTCCATTGAGCAATCACTAATCACTTTTAAAGCCTTAAGCTTATTATAACTATTTGGACACTAGGCAGGGGGTAGTGAATACTAGTGTTGTGAAGGTTTCAGTGTTTTCTGTTCAGTTCCGGAGTTGTGAAGAAAAATGAAAGGTCACAGAATCACAGAATAGTTAAGGTTGGAAGGGACCTTTGAAGACCATTCGCTCTCCCCTCTGCTCAGGCAAGGTCCCCTACAGAAGGCTGCCCAAGACCATACCCAGGTCAATGTACAGGTGTCTGCCCTGTGCGAGTTCAACTAATTAGTGTTATTTTGCTTGGAACAGGATTACCTCAACAGTGGCCTGTGACATGGACCTTTCCAAGTATCCAATGGATGAACAAGAATGCATGTTGGATTTGGAGAGCTGTAAGGGCTGAGTATAGTGTTCCCTATATTCTGCTTAATGCCTTCCTGTATGCTACTTAGATTGCTGGAGCTTGCTGGCATGATTCTGTTTTAGTCAATGAAATGTAAGGACTGTTGCAATTTTAGAAATAAAACATGCAAACCTCAATCCCATGACTAGGATTGAGCTTTAGACTATACTCTTTGCAGAATCAATTCAGTTCTGATGCATTTCACAATTACAGGATTCAGTTCAATGAGGATGAAATGCCTTCAGCCCTACTGATGATAGATGACTGGCAACTTTGTGCTTCATGTAAAACCAGTTGAAATTGTGACAGTCTTTTCACCAGCTTTAAGGAAGCTTGGGTAAAATCCAGTGAGAATAAGCAGAGAAGCCCACAGGCAGAACTGATGAAACTCAACACTGACACAAATGGGCCACACAATCAATAGCACTGAATTTGGCCTTTGGTGGTTCTTGTATCAGGAACAGACTAAAAATTCAGAGGGTTCCACAGATTTGAGAATAGCAGCTTCTGAACAGATGCACTGACACATTGATGCAAGCTTCTCTCTTTTTTAGCACTGACTCTGTTTGCTAGGCAATTAACCACAATACTATTTTATCCTGTCAAAAATAGAAATCTAGAGTTTTACTTATGTAATCAGCAAATGCAGAGGCAGTAGACAATGAACCAGCAATCTGCTTTCTCTCCCAGCCAAGTTCTGCAGGAAATTTTGGTGGCATTTGATTTTTTAATTGAATTTGAGAATTTTGATTTCCATACAGTAAACACATCCTCTTTGCAGAAATTAAGATTATCTATTAAGAGAAAAGCTTACCAAGATTGATTTCCTATGGATTTGTACACCATACATATCTCATGTCCCCTGTGTGCTGCATCTCATGCTAGCAGCTATGCTCCAGTTGTTTCCCGTGACTAACAAGCTGATTCAACAGTTCAGATACATATTTTATTTTCCCATAGCTTGCATACTTTTAAGTGTTGTGGGGCTTGCACAGAGAGACAGACCATAGCCTGTAAACTGGGCGCACTCTTGTCAGAGACTGTGGGGAATTCCTCACAAGGGAACTCTGCACTGCCTGACTGAAGACTGCCTATATGATAAAATCAACAGGTAAAAGTAGAATTACATAATTACACTCTGATGTCTTCAGTAGGATGATGACATGAGATTTGGCAGCTATTTTCTTTTCCAGTAGATTAACATTTTTTTGTGACTCAGATGCAGGTGCATTGGAGAAGTAATAGCCTGGCTTTAGGGCTACAATAACAGTTAATCTACTTTGAGTGTGTAAACGAGCTTTTTGGGAGATAACTTGAATATTTCTCATGGCACTGAAGAGTGTTGTGCCGTACCACATATTGTCAGTCTTTTTGAATCAACTTGAATTTTTCTCCCTGTTGGAAAGCTATCCCTGATGTTATTCTGGCAACACTGATGCTGCCAGGACAGTGAATTTTCCAGATTGAATCTCAGCATGTTTGCAGTGAGACTGATGAAAATGACTTTGGCAGAGGAATTGGAGGAGTTCCTCTCTAAGCCCTCTGTACATTTAATTTCTTCCCCAAACGTTGTGTTTATTCATTTTTCCTTTTTGGCAGATGGCTACTCTTCAGAGGATATCGTCTACCACTGGTCAGAAAACCAGGAAGAGATCCATGGGCTGGATAAGCTGCAGCTCGCACAGTTCACAATTACCAATTACCGATTCACAACAGAAATGATGAACTTTAAATCTGGTAACAGAATTTGACTTGTTCCTACATGAGAAAACCTCCTTTATCTGTGATAGAAAATCCTTTCTCTTAAGGAATTAAAGAATATATGTGTCTTGGTATAGTTTTCTTCAGCTGGTACTCGGAAAAAATACCAACTTTTGCTGAGTCTTTGGGAATTCACTGCAGCATGTTGTGACAAATCTGTAGTCCTTTAGGTCCACATGTTTGAAATAATATTGCATGGGGTACTTAGATAGCACTTTCTAAAACCCTTGAGGTACAGCTTGCATCTTCTTGAGCTAATTTACAATCTGTAAAAAGTTTCCATTAGTCCTAATTTTACGAGGCTTATGAGGTAAAGTCAGATCATTCTAATTCTATCCAGCAAAAGTCAGTTTTGTGCATGCATATCACTGGATTTATTGCAATGTTTGTGAAAGACTGGAATAATTTCTTTCCTGCTGATTTTTCATCCTCATTCATGTATTCAGTTTCTCATTTATGCTGCACATCTCCTCCAAGCTCTTTTTGAAGTTTGAAATTAACTTGGCCTTTTAAAAAATCTAAATTTAGTAGCTGGAGGACTTTCTACAGCAGATGATAAGACAGTACACATTTTGAAGCAATGCTGTTATTCAAGAAGACTCATAATTTTATTTTCAGATCCAGCATTGATAAGACCCATTGATAAGTCATTTGACGTATTCTTGGCTAACACGGCTGAGGAAAACTAGACAAGCTTGTGCAGGGCTTATGAAGAGTAATCGAACAACATTCAAAACAGGTTTCTGTAATCCTTATCCCTCCAAAATTGTCAAGAATGCAGATCTGTATCACTAGGAGAAGTTATTTTAAATACCAGTTTGACTCTAACTCACAAATTTTTTTTCTTTGTCTGCCTCTTCCACTCAGCAGGTCAGTTTCCCAGGCTCAGTCTTCACTTCCACCTTCGGCGAAATCGAGGAGTTTACATCATTCAGTCCTATGTTCCTTCTATCTTACTCGTGGCTATGTCGTGGGTGTCCTTCTGGATCAGCCAGTCAGCTGTGCCCGCCAGAGTGTCATTAGGTAAAAGAGATAGTTTGGGGAAATAGCAAGGAAGGATAAAGCTGTAATGACCTAATATTATATTATATTATATATAACAACTTCTAATATACCTCATTTTCCCTGAAGGCATGTTAATGAATGCTGTGTTTACATCTGAAGGAGAGAGGATCTTTTAAAGATTTCCTTCATGTTTTAATTTCTATCATGCTATCAGAGCAGCTGCCTGAGTAAAGAACAGAAAATCGAACACCTAATAATGGTTCAAAAACATAGAGAAAGGCAGCAGTTGTATGAAGGAATTGGTTTGAAGAAACTGAGAGCATGATAAGCATTTCTAGAGCTTGTGGATCTGTTTGCCAGAATAAAAATTTCAAGTCCAGATAAAAAGATTTTGAGGATTTGGACCTAGAGCAAAGTGAAGGATAAGATACTCCTACCTGCCTTATTCATTCAAATGCACAATTTTTACAAATTTTTCAAATCCCCTAGATGTTCTGAAAGTTAGCAACCATGCTATTAAAGAGTTTCTACTATGAAAAGTATTCCTCAATTTCAGATTATTAAATACTTTTATAAAAGCATATTATGAAACCTAAAGAAAGTTTCTCATACTACACTGCAGGTATAACTACAGTTCTTACTATGACTACACTGATGGTCAGTGCCCGATCTTCACTTCCACGAGCATCTGCCATCAAGGCACTTGATGTTTACTTCTGGATTTGCTACGTGTTTGTCTTCGCTGCACTGGTGGAATATGCATTTGCACATTTCAATGCTGACTACATGAAAAAGCAGAAGAACAAGATAAAGGCAAGACGACGGAGTGCAGAGGTCAGTAAGTGCCAAGAATAGCTTTGCAAAAGCAATCATCCCATGTTACGAGCTTTTCTCCACATTAATATGATAGGCAACCACATGCAATTGCTGGTCTTTCCCCTGCAACATGATCGGCGTTATACTAGAGGAAACATTTAAACACAGTTTGTTGCTCTATTTAAGTTAGGAAATGGACTCAAAAACTCACAATACTGTTCAACTCTTGAAGGTCTTATACATATGTGACCTTTGGCTGTGTCAGTACGTGGTTGGCTCTGATCAAGTACGCTGTCTTTGCCGTATAAACTACTATTTTTGTGTCTCCTTTTTCCTTTGCAGATAAATGTGAAGAATGCCATCGTTCTGTTTTCCCTTTCCATAGCGGGTGTGAACCAGGAATTGGCTGTTTCCAACAGGCAGCACAGAATTCCCAGAAGCCTGCCTGGCTCATATGGCACGGTAGAAATAGAAACTGGAGAGACAAAACGGCAGCATGAAATGAAACTGGAAAAGAAGAGTGGCCTGAAGTCCCTCTTCAAGCCCATTGATGCTGATACCATTGATATATATGCCAGAGCAGTGTTTCCAGCAGCCTTTGCAGCTGTCAATGTTATATACTGGGTTGCTTACACAATGTAAAAAAAAAAAAAACAAAAAAAACCCACACATACACACAAATCTGAGGAGACCTGCAAATTGAACAGTATCTTGAACAATACCTACATACTACAAAGCCGTTGCTGAAACTGTATTGGTTCATCTCAAAGTATTTTCCAATGAGCTTGAGACACTTCTAAAGTGAAGGAACCCCTGCAACTGATTACTACTAAAAACAGCAGAAGAAACAATTTATTACCAGTTTGGTTTGATATATGAATTACTCTACTTTGCCAAACAATCCCAGCTCCTTTTGTTTCTTGTCTTAGTGTAAGACAGTTTGTCATATGTACATACTTGCAGCACAAGTGAAAATCCTAAATTACCATGTTCTTCCTACATTGTAAGGACTGGACAGTAATGAAGGCTTATCTCTCCACGCTTTCTTTTTCTACAGAGCCGCTGATTACTCATTTCCACACAAGAATGATTTTGTGTATGTGGTCTTCTGTGGGATGGTCCAAGTTTAAACTGTTGAACTGGTTTAAACAGTGATAAACTGGAAATTTTTAAATCATAAAAATCACATTATCCAAGTAAAAGGGAATAAGAGGTAGGTGGAAGATGCTTTCTTATTCTTTGCGTTTGGGAGATGGAAGATTAAACAAGAAAAGATGTAGAGAAGGGTAGAGTTCTGTCGGGCTTTGAAAATGGGGACCTTCAATTTAGTGACTAATGCTTAATGGGTGCAATTGCAGTAAGGGTGAAGCCAGTGTTTGATCACAGTGCACACACTGATTCCTGTCCTTCCTGCCTTGCTTCACTAGGACGCATAGTTTGATTTCACACAACCAGTGCTGAAAAGATAGAGCATTTTAATATGGATTTATAACTGAAAATAAATATTTTCCAATATCATTGAAGTAAAAAAGTCTTCTGAAGAAAAATAAATGATCCTGAACTATTATAGAAAATATATTCCCATCATAAATCAAGATTACATTTTCCCTAAAATTTAGTTTCTCTTACAATTGGAAAACCTTTCTGCCAGCAACATGATGGAAGGTACAATCTGATATCAAGCTATAATTGCTCCACAAAGTATTTATTGGTTTAGGCCTGGACTGAGACATCTGGATTCAAGGTCTTCCTGCTGAGTTGTTGAGGAACCTTGGTGATGTCTTATCTCTGCACCATCTGCAAAACTGATACAATAATCCTGGTGTCTTTCATAAATGTGTGAGTTTTACAGAAGAAAACCCCTAGAGGAGAGACAGCAACTGTTCTTCTCCAAGCAACAAAGGGCATCCCAATAGTATTTTCATGTTGCTGTTTACTACACTTTCCTTGTCTCTACTATACTGGATTAAAGCAAGTTATTATTCATCTTTCATCACACTAAGGAAGCTAAGGAAATGTCACATTCCTTTGATATATGCAGGTAATCCTGGTTCTCTTCTTCCATCTGCTTTTCCTCCTCCTGCTTTGTGGTTGTTCTCAATGTTGTCAAAATACTACAATACAGAAATTGAAAGAAAGGACTTTTCTGGTACTGCTTTTTCTAGGATGTTGGGCCATATCTCCTTTTCATCTCTTCTTTTTGTTTAAAACTGAGCAGTTTCCATTTAGACCTAATCTAATTCTTGCCTGATCTAAGAAGCAAAGGAAGGGAAAAAGTAACTGAGGACACTTTCATATCTGTCTACCCCTTGGTAAGCAAGAGAGCAGGCAACTCTGAAACATTCTGCTCAGTATCACAACAAGAATACACTTGAGGAGGGTCCCACTGCCTTTTTCTGTTACATTCATGTAAATTAGAAATAATCCTCGTATAAAAATGAGTGGAGAATGACTGCTTTGAGAGTAGAGTCTAATCTTTTTGTAACTTCTGGCTTTACCAGCTACTAGCTTAGCACACTGCCTGTTAGGGTCAAAATTTGTTGCTAAGAGTGAAATTATGGGCTAAATCCAGTCGAAGAGATACTTGAAGCAAGCTCCAGTGGACTATATATCATAAGAAAAGTAATCCCTGATTTGGGATTAAAATTACTAGGGAACAGAGAGCAAAGCATTGACCTAGCCCCTCTAGCATACAGTTGCTGGTTATTCAGAGTAATTAGCAGCCATAAAGCTGCAGATACTATAAAGGCAGTGTCTAATCTAATTACATGAGCAATAATACTTAGTAATTGTAAATCTGATATAGCTCCTTACCCTGAAGACAACCGAGTAATCACAGTGAGTTACCAGAAAAAAAATAGTTGCTTCTCCATTTGGGACTGTCACTGCTGGCATGTCCTACTCACTTCTTCAGATTTATTCCATGAAATTTCTGTAGTTTGACTGCAAGTCTTTGAGCTGCAGAGTTAAGTTGCAATTAATGAAAGTAAAAGGTGGCAGCGAGCTTTCTTTCAAAGACCAACCACTCTGAATCAGCCAGGAGACATTGTGCTAGGCCCCGCAATGTTATAGACAGGAAAAAGTAAATCCTCTCAAGATATTTCAGGCTGTCAGAACATGCTCTGTGAACACACGTATGGCAACTGTGTCAATTCCAGAAATTGGGTGACTCCGAGACAAGAACAGGTGTTTCAGCTGCCATTACTGCACAAGCACTTGCATGAGTGCTATGGGACAGGACATCTCCATCTTGAAGACTGTTTTCTATGTTTCCAGAGGCAGAAATAGAAAAGATAGATGCCCCCCCAAAATGCTGTTATGGAGGAACTTCAGTAAAGGAGTGTTGTTTAGTGATTAGAGCTTCACATAAATGTGAAGGTTCTGAATTTAGGGGTATGTTTTACATTTAATTAAAAAATGTAAATGATAACACAGTATTTACAACTAAAAAAACCACTAATTTTATAGAGCACTGAATAAAGAGATAAGCTAACTTTGATGTCAACTAAAGGCTATGCAAACTCTGGATGTGCTAAAGTAGTGTCAAGGAGGGAAGAAAGAACTACGTGACAGAGCAGAAGGATTTTTTTCTGTGCTGTATCTGAAAACCTTTGTATTTCAGTGCTTTAGAACACTGCTCGACAGACTGGTGTGTCTGTGAGAAAGAGAGCAGGATATGTGTTAATGTAATCACTGTAAATGTTGAAGTGTTAATAAAGTGTAGATTATCCACAAGTTGTAGCTTCTATAAACTGACAAAATAGACATTACAACTACTGAATCACAAGATAAGAGACATTATAAGGAAAATCAAAATAACCTCAGAGATTTCTTCACATATTGAAATCTTGCCTCTTTGGTGCCAAAGGGCTAATAAAACCCTACTCTGGCCTTGATAACAGAAGAAAGCCTACCATTTGGTATTCATGAGTACTCTGTGTGGGGCACTTGCACAAACTTCTTTATTTATGTTAAAAAAAAAAAAGGATGTTGTTGCCTTAAGAGATTGGAAAGAATCAGAAAGCACAAGATGAAGAGAAAGATATTAAGTTGTTTGAAAAACAATGCCTGCAATGCCTGTACTATTAAGAGGGTAACCTAAAAAAGGAAATATTTATCCAAGTTTAAGTAAAAGCTCCCACATCAATCTTTAACAGGTTTGCTAATCCAATAGATAATGGAGCGAAACCAATTTAAACTCAATGAGGCTTCCACTGCTGGTACAACAAAACACTTAATAGGATTGCTCTGATTTTCAATACTCACTGTCATTAACCCAAGAAAGCACTTCACATTAGGAGGAAAACAGTACCCCTCTGCATATTTGCTTATGCAGCAGAATAGATAATAGAAAACTCAATGAAAGTTACTAAGAATATTTCCGTTAAAAAAAAAATCTCTCCCTGTGACCACTTTATTAAAGAGACTTAAAGCATTTGCAGTGGTTAAAAGCTTATCTAATGTTACAGTTATACTGAATGCAATATACGTTAGAAACACTGTCTCTGCGTTTATAGCTTGTGTCTTAAATAAAATGAGGATTTAAGCATATTACATGAAGCATTAGGATTTGCCCTCTCTTATGCCAGTTTTGTTATGGCTATTCCCTTTACAGAATTTTGGTTGGTTGATAAAAACAAAGTGGAGAAGACAGTGAAACCCTGTGTCAGAAAATTTGACAACAAGAGAACTAATCAGATGTCATTAGGGGAGACAGTGCATCAAAAAGACTGGACTCAAACAAATAAAAGAAAAACCCACATATAGATAATTCTTCTGCAATATTTAAACTTGTCTCAATGATTCTGGATTCAGAAACAATCAAAACATAGCAAAGCCTAATTGTGTTGCACCTAGGATTTTGATAACCTATTATCCAATCTCCATCCTTTGGTTTTAAGCCTGTCAAAGAGTTGCTGGGCATGTGTATCTTTTCTTGAGATCAGCAATGCGCTACAGAGACAGGTTGTATAAATATCCTGGATAAATAAGTACAGAAGCAGAGAGGTTTGATTTTGAAACATGTTGCTTGGGGTACACAYAGATTTCTCGTTTATCCTGTAGGCTAATATAATATGACAACAAAAGTGGGAGGTAGCTTCTGGGTGCTTCTGTCTTATATAAAAAAGACGAGTAAAGAGAGGTGTTGTCTTAAAATAGTCTTGAAGCATTATTCATTTGGTCTATTTTAACACAGACTAGAAAAACACTAATATTCAATCCACCAAGCCAAACTGCAAAGAATTACCATGGTGATTTCTGATCTTATGTAAGACATACAATTTGTTCCAGTTTATGTTACAATATTTTAATGCTTTGCCTTATAATGTTTATTCAAACTATTTGGCACTTGGTCCCAGATCTCTTCCCAGTGAAACCAATGATTTCACTGTCACTGACTTCAAAGGAAATAAGATCTTGTTGCTTGGAAAAAAAAGAGTAAAGAAAGACAGTAGGGTTGAAGAGTAGTCTGCATGCCTGCTCATGTTACTGCTGTGAGTTGCTAAATGAGAAATTCTAGAAATGAATTCTGGAGTGACACAGAACAGGATGATTGTATCTTGCACACACACACACAAATAGCAGCCTTGTCTTTCCATTTATTAGTTGTTTATTGCTTAGTCCAAAATCACCAGTTCTAATCCACACTAATCTCTAAAGAAAACTTAGAGCTAGATGGAAAAATTAAAGTGTTTTCCATTAGACAAACATGTCTGTCAATAGGTTCTAATGAGGCAAGTGTACAGTGGAAATATTAGGCATTACAGCTAATATATAAAAAAATTTCATGCCCACATAGCAGATTCAGAGGGAATACCTACCTTTACAAAAACTACTTACAGGTTTCACAGAGGGTGAGTAAAGAGGACAGAAATTTTATTTTTGTCTCTTGGTTATGCTGAAATGCTGCCGGCAGAGAAAACGGTTCCCTCTGGCCCAAAGGAAAAAAAAAAAAAAAAAGCATTGTGAATATTTTACTATATTCAAACTAAGTAACTTTAAAACACAGACATTTTATGTTACTTCAGTTCATTTACTTCTGACTATAGTGTATAAAGTTATATTTGACAATTGATACTTCTGAATGGCCCATGCAGTAAAACTACTTTGAGATATTCCAGAATATGACTCTTTTCACAGAAGAGGTTAAAAGATATTACTTTCTCCATACGGGGCCCAGAAAATTTTAAATTTAAAATAATGCTATTAATCCCAAATAACTTGTTTTCCCTTCAAACTCATCTTTAAAGAGCCTGTGCCATTAGAATAGCACACTAGTACAGATAATAACTATATATTGAACTTTTCCTTTCCTTCAGACAGTTGCCTAGGAATATCTTGCCACCTGCTGGAAGTGTGTAGATATACACATTTATAAAAATACAGATTAGAAACTGTCACAATCCTGGTAAAATTAAATAGCCAAGGAGACATTAAATCCAGAAACCAACAGTCTGCATCTTTGTAACTTTTAATCAAAAAGACAAAAATCTTTCTGACTTTTGTAAAGATGAGGTAACATCCATCTTCTATGCTGCACACCTGCAACACCAACACTAGCTTCTTAGCAGATCAGTTTTTACCCATACGACTCTAACTAAAATCTATTGCTCAATTGGACACTGAACTTGAGTTTATACGTGGTTATTTAAAGCTAATTATCCTTACGGTCACATCACTGCAAAGTCGAGGATGGGGCGATAAGAACGCAAAACTCAAGAGAACGTGAGGCATCTTAACTAGGATATAGTGCCACATTTTACATGTGGCACAAAATAAAATGCCTGGCCTCCAAGACCCTTAAAATAGTGGTGCTAGTAAGGCGACTCAGACATAGGGCATCTCATTCTGTTGCTCCACCTCCCCCCGCTTTATTTGTTTTAAACAAGGTCATAACATCAGCGTGTTGTTTCATTTCTCCCGTATCCAGGTGTTTCGAGAGCGGCTTTCCCGCTCGGGTGCTTCTGAGCGAGGTCTCAGGGCGGGGAGTCGCTCGCCCTTCCCTCAGGCGACATTTCCCGCCCGCGCCCGCGGCGCGTCCCGGGCCCCGCCCCTCGCTTCAGCACCGCCCCCGGGCCGGGAGGCCCCCCTCCTCCGCCCCCAGCGAGCGGGAGCGCAGCGAGGCCAGCGTGGGGAGTCCTGGCCACCCTCGACGAGCCGCTACCTCGAAGGGGGCAGCTCCGCAGCTCCACCTGAACCGAACTTAACGGTCGCATCCCCCGCGGTCTGGGCCTCCTCCTGCCAGGTGGAGCGGCGCGGTCGTCGCGCGGCGCGGTCGCCGCAGCCGCTGTCCCCGGAGCGGCGTCAGGAGAAGAACCTGCAGCCCTCACACCTGCCGCCGCGCCCGCCGTCCACGGCTCCCATTGGCTGCAGGTGCTCCTCCGCCACCTCCTCTATGGCTTCTCATTGGCTAGGCAGCCCCCTCCCCGCTCCAGGTAACGGTCCCTAGCCTGCGATTGGCTGCAGCTGGGCGAGCTCGCGTAGGGATTGGCCGCAGGTGAGGCGGAGTTTGCGATTGGCCGGCAGGTAAAAGAGGAGGTCTTGGCGGCGGGCGCTCCCTCCGCGCGCCGCCATGTTCCGAGCGGGAGTGCAGGGGAGGGGAGGGCCCGCGGGGGGTCGCTGAGCCGTCTGCTGAGGCGACGGGCGCCCGGGGCGACTTTGAGGCTGTAGGTCGGCCTGGACTTCCTTCCCCTGCGCGTTGCCGTCGTCCCCAGGCGACCGGAGTCCTCCCCGAACTTCCTCGCAGGACTTTGGACAACTTTCTGGGACGAGGCGGGCCCAGGGCCGGGGCGTTTTCCGTGGGGCCGGTGGCGAGGAAGGGGCCTCGGGACGCCGCTCGCCGAGGATGGGCTGGAAATATTTTCGAATTAGTTTGTATGCGGAATGGAGAAAACTTGTGAATAAACAGCATGCTTGCCCAGGAGCCCGCCCTTGAAGGTAACTGAAGTTGTCTTTTGGAGTTTCTTTTTTTCTTTTTTGAAAAACTTGTAATTAGCGCCTCATAAGAGTCTTCCATGTGTTTGCAAGTTACTTTATATTGTTGTTATAACTTCTGTATAGAAAAAAAGAGACAGAAGTGGTATGGGTGAATAAATAATCCCTTTGAGTATTTTTGTTCAGGAGAGAGCAGCTGAGTGATTTGTTAGAACATATTGTTCTTTAGAAAGACCCTTAAATAATAGCTGTGTACCAATTATGTAGGGAGAAAGAAAAAAAAAAAGGATTTTCTATCTCTCTTAAGTTCTGGTCTTTTGTAAATTGGAATATTTATGTAATATAGAGTATTTTGAATTTCATTAAGATTGATCCTGCATAGTAATGGGTATCTCGTTCATGTTTTCCTGCTCTTTTATATGAAAAACTACATGGATTTATAAAATTTGGCCCTCTACTTGTTCAGTCAAGTATATTTCTGATCATCTGTGTTTTTCTTTCAGGATGGTTGACTGTCATCTGGAAAAGATCTGAATATTTTCTACCTGAGATCTTTTGCTTTGTAATCAAATGAGTTACCTCTCTGAATGACCTGTCTGTGTATTTGAAATATAGCCTTCACTTAAACAGTTGAATTTAGATCATGCCTAGCAGAATGGGCTCAAAAGTTGATCTGAGCAGAGACTTCATCAGGGTAAAAACACATTATAGTGGGTAAGTCTATATATTCTGTCCCCTGTATTGTGTCATACCTCACTTTGAAGCCTATGAAGCTGGAGTTCATAGGCTCACTTAGAGTAAAAAGGAAGCTGATGGACTTGAATGTGATATCAAGACAAGCATGTAAACTTCTAGGCTGTTAAAATAAGCATCCTGCACCCTGCAGGACCCTGGAAGAGTTTTAAGAGTTGCAGTTTTATTCTTTAGTCTGGGTTGATGTGTTACTCCTGTTTTCTTATAAGTGTTTATGGTGACAAACTGATAGTCATCTGTTAAATCCTAATGCAGTTGTTATGTTTATATAATACAGTATATTACACTTCCTCATATTCACTCATATAAGTAAGCTCTGCCTCTACAGATCACCATTGAAATTAGCAGGTTATTAAGTTATTCTCTAGCTATTAATTTTAGTGATGTCTGTGTTATCCTGTGATGTTCATGCTTATGAACTGCTCTCATTTAGATGAGCAAATCATCCATTAATTTACAAAGCAGGGATTCTGTGATAACTCAATTTGTCTTTGTTTTATTGCTTGAATTCAGGCATCCAGGTGAATAAGGACAGACTGACTTTATCATGTTATATGCTGTACAATTGATTATTTCAATTTCTTCATGAAAATGCTACCTCATCTTCAAAGTTTGAGATGTAGGAAATGGTTAATGTTGGACAAGTTCATTTAGGTACAATAATTAAAAATGCCAGGTGACAGTACAATACATGTTTTGAACTCTCAGTTATAGAAGTAAGCATGAGGAGTTGCAAAACATTATGAATGCGGAGTCTGTTTCTGGGAAGCTTATGGTCTTTGGTATTGCTGTTACTGGGTGGGACAGAGTTCCTAACATACCACCAATAAGTACACAAGTGTTTGCAAAAGAAAATACACTTGTGTGTATGCTCACTTCATCTGGTTTATCTGTGATCATTTGATACTACTTCGTTTAAATATTACATTGATGAAGTGTATTTTTGTGTATTTTGCTTTTTGTTTAATTAGTAAAGAATCTCCCAAGAAACATGCTTTTGCTATGCATAGCTAAAACTGCATGTTAACAAGAAATATGAAAAATTATTAGAAAATTACATCTATGGGACTTTGTGTTAAGGGAATTACATACCTAGATGAAATACGTTATTTTTTAGAACTATGAATGATATGCAACTGTGAACTGATTGGTTAATGTGGCTATAGATATATATATAGATATTTAATATCAAGATTAAATATCGCTAATCTTGAAAGAATATGGATATAATCAAGACAGTAATGATATGAATAAATCTCACTTTCATTTGCATCAGTAATAGGTGCTCTTTGGACAAAATAACTGTGCAAATATGCTAATCTGAAAGTTATTAATTTATGTGTAGGAAAGCACTGTCATCTTTTATCATAAATTTAATAATGCAGATTAATGTTACTTATATAAGAACGGGACTCATCAATGGGAAGAAGTAAACTTAAAAAAGGTACAAATTATAAATACAGTTAATACCTCTAAGTATTCAAATGTATATATATATCTGTTAAATACTGTGAGATGTAATGTTGTTGGCTTCTGGCCCCTTAATTTAGCCAATTCTGTAAGTATGCTTTTGCATCTGAGAGTCTGTAGATGGCAATGCTGAAATATGCTAGCTAAAGCACCTATAAGTTTGATTTTTCTCTTGCAGAGACATACTGATAGCAAACTTGGATGCATCAATGAGCTATGATGAACTTTGTGATGAAGTGCGTGAGATGTGTTCTTTGCAACAGGAACAACCAATTACCCTCAAGTGGATTGATGATGAAGGTATGGTAGATACGTAAAACTTTASTCTTGGTTATTCTTGTACATTTTGGTGCAAAGAGGGCCAAAGAGGGACACTGTGGATATAAGTACAAAAGATTTTGTATTGTAAAGTTATTTTTGATTTGGATATAATGAGGGCTTGATCCTGTTCTAAAAAACAATTTCACTCCTCAATGGTGTACATTGCTATTATATCATTAATATTTTAGTCTTACAAATGTAACTATTTAATAATGACTATGAGAAGTATATATTGAGTTCTTTTTTTGTGTGTGTTAGCTTTGGGCGGTGAGGGTGGTCTCAGGAACTTGAAGTTTCTGTTTGTTTTCTATGCTTTTTTCCTAAAAAGCATTTTTTTGCCAGGTGACCCATGTACCATCTCATCTCAGATGGAACTGGAAGAAGCCTTCCGTTTGTATTGTCATAACAGAGATGAAGGGCTGATTATTCATGGTAAGTATTACACAATTTGAAAACCACATAGTCATTTGGTAATAAGGCTAAAAGGTTAATAAATGTGAAATTTGGAAAAGTATTTACGCACCGAATCAAATACTTTTTACAACACCAAAATTGGATAACAACTAGATGAACTAGTAATTGTTATATTTTGAGTGGAACCAAATCTCAAACAACTTGGTATACTTTGGACTTGAAATTTTAAATTATACGGATTGGTTAATGCTGTAGCAAAGTCTAAGATCTTACCACTAGTAACATTGATTTTTCAGTTACTTGAAGGCCTTGAAAATGTGGCTTCTTATAAATGTATTAAAGAATCAAGGAGATAGTGCTATTGTGATTTTCTGCTTAAAAACTTCTTTTGTTTTTCTGTTTTAGTATTCCCGGGTGTTCCAGAGAAACCTGGTATGCCTTGTCCAGGAGAAGATAGTGAGTACTGCAGTGTTACTGAGTTTAGTTTATATTTTTGTCACATGGAAAAGTACTTTAAAGAATTTCATAAGGTAGCTTTATGTAGATATATTGCTTTACTTACACTTTTCTGAATAGAATAGTAAAATAATGTTCGTTATTTATCAGAGAAATTATGAAATATTAATTGACACTAGTATTTTTAATGTTACGGAGGATTAATACTGACTTCCAGTTGTTCATAGAGTGTAGGATTTTGAATGTGTTTAAATATGGTAAGGTGCTTGCTTTCAGGGTTTTTACTTTGTTTTTTAAACTGAGATAAGTGATACACTGGTGTGAAAGTGAGCTTTCAATAAAGGGTTTATCAATTTGTTGTAACACTTTTTGAAGGAATGGATACATCTCCAAAGAAGGCAGACAATTGATATATCTACTTCGATTTCAATAACCTAAATAATTGCATTGGTATGAAGCTATTAAATAGTTGGATAGTCACATTTCATTATGGAATGAGGTTGTCAGTATAATACTCTGCATCTTTGTAAATGTCGAGGAAAGAAACGGGAATAATTGGTTGATAGTTACCAATAATACTTGACTAGTCACAGTAGTATAAATGAAAGCTAAGTGAAAAATGGAAGTACGCTTTGCTACTTTTTTCTTTAAAAATGATTCTTTTAACCATTTAAAGAAGGAAGGAAGAAATACCATCAGTCTATATGACTGATAAGTCCCAACTAAATCTGTTACTCATAAGAACACAAAGTAACATAAAGGCTAAATACTTGTGGAGAAGAGTAAATTATCTAGAGGGAGGAAAAAAGGGTTTGGGCATATCTGCAAGTCATGTGGCATAGCAAAGATGTGTGCAGTTTAGTATTTCTGATATTTCAGAACAAAAGTGTTCAGTGTTAACCTGCATATGTCTCTGTTGTCCTAGACAATGAGATGAACTACAAGTGCATAAATTAGTATGGTTTGGATGACCTAGTTACTCTGTATGTAGGCTATGCTTTTTTAAATATCTTTATTTGCATCATGCTTTGATCGTTCAAAACAGCCTATGTAGTAGCATATACTCAGTGATTTGCAGTCATGTTTCTCTTTTAATGAATGGATTTAGTGCGTATGGTCTCTTTCAGCTGTAGGACCAGCATGGGGATCTGGTATTGTGACTTGGCTGTAACATTTCCAAATTGTAAAACAAGAGATAATAGTGTATAGGTGTGAATTAGCATAAACAAATGTATTGAGCTCACTGCTTGTTTGCTGTTGCTGTGCTACAGATGTGCTACACTTGGGCTATGTGTGTGTTACTAGTATTAGTGATACAGTGATACAAATACTTGCAGAGAGAAGTAAATGGTTAATCTGCCATTTTTTTTTCTAACATGGGTTTTTTTGGAAGCTGTAAGAGTCTGTAGGAGTCTGAGCGCAGACTCTGCTTCAGAGTTGTAGACGATTTAAAATGGATTTGTCAAAAAACACTTTTGACTTGCCAGATTATTTCGTTTGTAAAGTTTTGCTCAAACTTGATCATGTTATATCATGGATTATAAATTTCTATGTATAGTAACGTGATTTCTTGAATTGCAAGATGACCTGTAGAATGGTAGGTTTTTCTCTCCATTTATTTTCTGAAAAAAAATAATGCTTTTGGAAGGAGAATGCAAGAATATATATGCTGAATATTTTGTGTTCGTGTTGAAACATGATATGATTCCAGTTTTCTTGAACCTTTGCAAAACTGATGTGGCTTTGAGGTTTATTTCAAGAGAAGCTTGAAATAAATAGACGTAATCTGTTAGTGAAATAAACCATGGCACAAAAGTTTCAATGCTGTTTGCATTCCTTTAAAAATAATTGTAAAAATTCTGTATGGAAAATGTTGACAATGCTGAAGAACAGGCATTTAAAAATATTATTTGATGAAGCCATCCTTTTATATTTTTATTATGTTGTCCACAAAGTAGGACTTGCCCAGATTCTCCAGCATCTGAACTTGTATTGTCTCTGTGTTCCTTTTTCTCTAGAATGTTTGCTCCCTCCTTTTTTTTCCTCCTTTTTCCTAGTTTACCCCTAGAACCAAGTCCTGTTTGTGCAGCTCAGAATGGCAGTGCTGCCATGTGAGTGAACAGGCTGCTTTTCAGAAGCATCTTGCACTCAGTATCTAGGAAGAGCTGCAACCTTTTGCAGGTGCATCCAGCATCTGCTGGCCTGGAGCCTCAGATACTGATTGCCTGATAGAGATGGCAGGCTTCTAGGCCAGCCTTGTGTACTTAAAAATAAGAGCTAGTTTACTTAAAAGGAAACTTTTTTGGGGGGAATGAAGGGGTGGAGAATAAATTAACAATGCTATTTTTCAGGTATTTAGATATTTCTCTTCTGTGCCCATAAGTGATACCCTTTCTGATATCCTGATAGAAAGATATGATCTAAGTGGCAATTTTATTACTTATTATTGCAGGCTCAGTTTTTTTATGCTGACAGATCTTGTTTTAATTTAACACTCTTAAAACAGCAGGATGCTGTATAACAAAACACGTAGCTGAACTGTTTCTACTGACTTGTAAAAGTCCCTGCCGGAATTGCCTGTTCTATCAGAAATCCTTGTGTTTTTTTGGTGACATCAGCTCCTTGACATCCATGCCATGTTTTAGTTTGTGCCTCAGCTGCTAGCTACAGCCTCCCAAGGGAGCCAGTACCCACCSGTGCCTGGATACATGAGGCAGAGATGTGAAAGGGAGAGAACAGGATAACCAGTCTTCCATTAAATATTTGCTCTTAATGTTCAAGCTGATCCTGCCTATTGTCTTTGGTGTCTAGTGGTATTCAAACAGCAGCATCAGTGGAATAAAGGGAAAATGTTTCATTTCATACCTACTGCCTTGTAAAGCATAAAGAATTACATGCTGAAGAATTGAAAGAATAAAATCCAGTGAGTAACGCTTGCCTTTTCTATAGCTTTTATGTATCATCATTGCAATTGCTACTCTGAATTGAGGCCATTGATGCAGTGTGTGTGTGTGGTGCAGCAGATAATAGAAGTCAGCATTTCGGTTATCATGTATTTGCTTTGCCTACCATCCTCCCTTGCAGCCATAGATTGTTACAAGTACAGATATTCCTGGTGCCTCTTGTTTGTAAGGTTGTGGCTGAGACACCTCTCTGAAATGCCGTTCAGATTGCGGTGAAAAGACTTTTTTCCTGGGGGATGGATTTGGGGAGAAAAGGACAGAAGAAAAAGGACAGAAGATGCTGCTGCTAGTAGAGGAAATTAATGAAAGAAATGTATCCGAAAAACCCTGACGGTATGTGTTCAGGGCCTGTTCATTTTAAGATTGCTAATTTAAAGATGAATGTTTTAGGAGCATCCTTTTATAAGACATATTTTAATTGAAGTGTATTTAGTGAATTGTTTAATGTGAAATATATATTTTGAATTATGATTTACTTATTTTCTAGTATTAACAGAATGAGTTGCAGATATATTTCTATTTTCTAAATTAGATCAAATTGGTGTTTGTGCTTAATGTTAAATGCTTCTTGGATAGCTAGTGCTAACAAATATTAGAGCTGTTTTTGCTATTTCATGAAGTAAAAGAATGCAGAGGAAGCAACCTTTAAATCATTTTGCTAATAAAATTGATTATTTTTAAAGGTGTAAGTGCTTGGGGCATTAGTATGATAGCAGAATAGTGCTTTTATTGTCTAATTTTGTACCTGTTTTTGCTGGGCATTCTTTTTTTGTAGTGTTTGCATTATATTGTTATGTTTCTCCTTCTTTGTTTATCTGCATAGTGTTTTGGCATTAGATACCTAGACTTCATTTTTTCAATGCCATCTATTTTGAAAATTACATGATAAAGACAAATAAGATATCTTATGAGCCTAATTATTTTTCTGAGGTATTTTTAGATGTGGATATTCATTTTTCTTTGCCTAATATTTTGAAATAGCTCTAAAAGGCTTTTTATGACAGTAGCATGGCCTGTAAATATTTTTCTAGCTCAGAGGGAAGGTTTTTCCCTTCGTTTGTTGCTGTATTGGCAGCAATGATTAGGTTATTCAGAGCACGTGAACCAATTCCATCCCCCAGTGAATAAAGGAACTATTGCGACTGTACCGATTACTCTGAAGACAGAGCTTGGATTGCATTGGGTAATTAGTCTGTTTTGGAACTACTACTAACGCTCTCCCTCTTCTTTAGTAATTGAACTGGCAGAGATGGAAATTGTACTATTTTTGTGTAATAATGTATATTGTTGCTTAGGAATTGAAAATAGCTGTGTCATGGTTTAAGCATATGACATCTCTCTCTTTTTACTGTGTACCACTTGTTTTTTTCCTGTATGTAGCACTTTTTAAAAACACACCTTTTAATTATTAGGTAGTATAGGTCAGTCAGAATACAGTATTATTGATTAGAATTACTTAGTTTTTATTTTTAATTTTAGAATTTATCACTTTTTAAATAGAGCTCCCTTTGGGTAACTGAGAGGTGAAATTGCAAATCACATACCTGATCATGATTTTTGGTATCTTTCCTTACTTTAAGATACTGGATAGTTTAGCAGGTGTTTGTGTACTGGTTCAGAAACTATGAAAAACAAATATACTAGAACAATGTATACCTCAGTTAATTTTTAAAGGTAACATAAGAAATAGCTTTTTTCTCTCTGTTCTCTTAGCTTTTATATGCCTAAGAGTAAAATATAAGTGTGTGTGTGTGACACACTTAAGTCTCCAAATTAAGTGTGTCGTTAAGTGTGACACACTTAAGTCTGCAAATCTGCTTCTTATACAGACATTTGGATTGCTAAATTGGATGACGGGGATGAGGCTTTTTCTTGTTGAAACCAGCAGATGTTTGCAAGACTGTTAAACCTTAGTTAGTCTTCGGTGTTTCAGTAGCTTGAAAGACCCCTCAAATATATAATATTGTAAAAGATACTGTCAAGGTTTATTATTGTATTTGGTTGCATTTGTAGAGTTTTTAAAATCAGCAAACAAGTTATAATTAAAATAATTGAACCACAGATGTAGTCAGAGGCCTGCGGGTTAGCATTTATCTTGGAATTTTGAGTTGCTGTATGAGAAATCAGACTTTGTAGGGGGAAATTAAAGGTGCTGCTGATTTGAAATGGAAAGCACTTCAGAAGTGAAGCCTAGTAGGACTAATGATAGTGAATGAGTAGCCATTGGAGGACTTGCTGTCTGTTCAAGTCTGGGTAGTATATAAATTGTCTGACACTAACAAAAAAGAACTAATCTGAGGCATGATGAAAGGGCTGTTTTTCAGTAGAGGCATCTGAGACTTCTCTAATCATCCCTGTCTGTGCAAGAGTTGCATGTTGAATAGACTGCAGTTCAGCCCTTAAGCCTCTGGGAGAGAGGAATGACTTGGATAGGGAAAAAAAGTGAGGAGAGGATAAGGAGGAGGATCTTCAATATTGACTGGAAAAGCACCTCACTTGGAATTCTAAAGTTTCAGTGCTAATTCTTCAGCATCTGTAATTGCTTAGAGTTGCAGTCTTTATTGCTGTTCCTTATTACTAGCTGAGAATGCGGAAAATATTTAAAGGAAAAGCTTTAAGATGTAGTACAGACCTCTGCTTTTACAGTACTATGCTTACTATTAGTTCAGCTCTTATTATCATCAGCTCTGACATTAATACTGCTTATTAAATACCTCTTCTAACAATTCAGGCTATCATCTGTTGCTTTTTTCAGTAAACCAGGTGCAGATATCCTGGTACAGGGGCAGGTAGAGGACTCCCTGCCCTTTTAGAGTTTCAGTTGTCATGCAAAACCTTGCTTAGCCGTGGAGAATGTAAAGGAAGTTTTCTGGAAATAGTCAGGCAATGATTAAAACTGAAGTTGTAGAACCTAAGCCAATATATCTGAGATGGTTACTGCCTCATTAACTTCAAGGTGCAAATTGTTTTTAACAGCGTTCTCGGCTATTTCAGCACTGCTATAAAATAAGTTAGAATATTGTAATACAGTTTTATAGAGCAGTTCTTATGCTGTACAGGAAGACTGTGGAGAGCATAGTGGAGATGAAAGGAGGTTTTGATGGAGAACGTCAGAAAATGTAAATTTTGTAGTTGTAGCATAATTACCTTATTTTTCTTGATGGAGTGGAAAGCTTCCTTCCAAAAGCTAGAAAACAAATACCATCATTAATTTGAAAGACTTAAGCATGCTTTCTTTAACAAGTGAAATACTAAAGCTTTCTCTTAACAGCACAGATAAAAGGCAGGTACATCAAATTGAATCATGTGAGTCTATATCTGTGACTTATTTTTTGCTTCTCTAAGGATAAAGACGCTCTGGGAGATTGCTTTCTTAGAAAACAGCTTAGTAATTCTCTGCATCATAAAGAAATTAACCAAGTGGGAGGTGTCATTCAATTTGATATTAGAAATAGCTTATTAAATCTAAAACGTAACAGAAAGTCTTGTCTTCTGCAACTCTTCAGACTTCATTAACTTTAGCTACTATTTAGTACTATTTTATATTGTCACAAATATGAAATAATTCTGATGTTAAACTTTTGAATTGTACAAATGTCATCAGAAAAATGATTAAGATTGTCTTAATGATATAGTTGCACATCTTAACAGCAGAGGGACRAATTGCATGGCAGGGGCAGTCAGAGTTATCCAACCCTTCCATAGGGGTGACTGGCTGATTTTTTTTTTTTTAATCTAGGGTGCGTTAAAATACAAGTTAAATGTTTTTATTTCCTTTGCAATCTTAGCTTGAAACTTGGCTTCTCTTTAGAAGATCTTGGATCCCCTTAAGGGAGTTTTCCAGGGAGAATCTTTTCTTTTACTAGGCCAATTTTAAATGAATCCGATCCACATTCTGCCCTATTTCAAGGTGTTACATTATCCTAGTTGAGACGCACTTCCGTTGCTACTTATTCCTTACTGTAAGCACTTGGAAAATGGGGTAGGTCCATGTACATGTGAACATTATGTATGTGACCCTTTGTTCTGTTAACCAAAACAACGCCTTTTGAGGCATTCTCCTCATACAGCCCTGATATTTTGAGTTTTGATAATGATCTGAACAATCTGAAAGTTTGAGAAATGGGCAATTGTAAAACATCAGTAACTTCATGGGGATTACAAAAATGAATGCTAATATTGATAGTCCTGAAAAGTAGCTTTCCTGTGATGAATTTAATCTTCTTGGTATAGTACTGAATAATACTTGTCATTTAAAGGCATCTTATTATCACTGTTTCTTATTTTATGCAGAATCTTCTTCTTACAGGCAGGATATAGGAATTCATCTGGCTTAGGCCAGACCCTGAATCAGTGGCAGTCCTAGTAGGGGTTTCCTCCTCTTCTAATGCTACAATAACTTGAATATTTGCTAGACAGTTGCTTCACAACAGTATGCTATAAAAACCTGATTTGGACTTGATACTTGTTATTAATTAGGGAAGTGACTTGCTTCTTTATTTGCAGACTTTGCCAACACAAGCCGCTCATTAATTTATCAGTCACTTAATATTCCTTGTATCAGCGATAAGCTAGCATTAGAACACAGATGTATTAAATTGCCTCCGTATGGTGCTTTGTCTAAAGAATCAAAAGGACTATTTTGGAAAAAAATCTTTGACTTGTTCCTTCTACCTCCCATCCCCTGAAGTGCCATCCTACAAATGGAAGAATAGTTTTTCAATTAATTTTCTATCAATTCTTGTGTATAATATATTTCAGTTACATCAGCAAGATGTATATTTAATAATGGAGCATGTAGTGTTTCAGAAAGTAATATTGAAGTTTTTGAAACTTCTGAATAAATGGAGCTAAAGACCTTCTTGTAGTACCTACTACTATGCTTTTGGGTTGTTTTCTTCTGTGTAATTCTAACTCTATCTGAAGTTTTTAAGTTCACATGTAGAAGATGCAAATTCTTCATCAGTGATTAATTGGATAATGAGTTAGAAAGTTGCATAGTTTTTGTTTTTTTCAGAATAAAAACTTTTCCTAGACAAAGGGTTGATTTTTTTTTTTTTTTTCCCCCTAGTGGAGTAGGCATGTGTTCAGACACCTGTTATACTGAGTATTTAGATCAGTCTGTGTATATCCATTAAAAATACCATTGGCTATCAGAAATGCCATGTTGCTTAACTTAAAAGATATGATGAGAATTGTATTTTTATTTTTTGAGGTTGTTATCTTGAGAAGGTTAGTTTAAAAAAAAAGTATGTATAAAATAAATGTGGATACTGTGAAAGCATAAAACAGATTTTGAACACTTTGCGAGAATATCTGTTTAAATATGTACTTTCATTAATTTGTATCTGCCCTTCTTTGGATTATAGCTTGGGCTATAGAATTTGTTGTATTTCTTAATCTTTTGACTATACCAGTCAGCATTAGCAAAACTGTCAAACCAACATGTCCTGTGAATAGTTGTTGAACTGTTTTGCACTAAGGAAAGTGGATTTGTTTACTGTAAAGGAAGCTTGTATTTTGCAGATTTGGAAGAGTTATTTTATTCAAGTATATTGAGACATCCTCTAATAACTCATGTCTGCCACCTCTGTGGCAGACATAATTCAAGATACTATCTTGAATTATGGAATTTTTCTGCTTGTAGTAGATTTTATTAAAAGACAGCATGAAGACTCAATGTACTGACTCTATAGGCTATTATAACACCAATAAAAACACTTCAAGATATCTTTCCAGAAGATATTCAAGGGGATTACATCATGTTTGTGGTCTGATGTTATTAATAGTTTGTAGTCTGTTTCATGTTAAAATTGCTGCTGTTTAAAATATACTTCATAGCTTTGCTATAGTAAGCTTTGAGAACTTGAAATTAAATTTGTGAATATGTTAACTGGTTCCAATTATAACTATTATTTTTTAAAACCATGTTAAATCTTAGTGGTTTTTTTGGGGAGGGGGAGAGATTTTTGTTTTAGGGGAATTTTGTCGTTGAAAGTGGGGGTTTCCCACCACTTCACCCAGTACCACTGGCAGTGTCAGCTGTGGGAAGCACATGACTGTTTGTGGCCAGCGATGTCAGTGTCCTTTGCAGCTGCGTGTGACTCGGGACTGTACCAGGGTTGCATAAGATCCTTTCCAGTTCTTTGTGCTGAATATCAAATACTTAATTAGTCTCATAAACCAAGGTTGGATGTGTGTTTGTGCAAAGTAACAGCAGAAGTAAAATCAAAATAGAGGCTAGGTACTGTCTTGTATGGCCTCTTGAAATCTATCTTYAATTGCATGAAAATTACTGCTTAATGCCATGTCTTAATTGCAGAAACACATTTGAACTATTTCTATGGAATACTTTAGTGATGTTTTCTAGACCACATGAAAATCAGGTCAAATAATGCAACTTTTGATTGTAACACTTCTAGCAGATTTTTAGAGCATGTATTTTGACTGCATATTTAAAACATTGTTAGCACCTAACATCCTTTACTTAATATATGTTAGTTTGATATACTGAGTTGCGCTTTGTGATTTTGCTAAGAGGAAGCTGTTTCTTTAACTGTTGGCTGTGTCTCTCACCTGAGCTTGAACCAGCAAACAGCCAGGAAACTGTAACAAGATTATGATCATGTGAGAAGGACAGGGACAGAAGAGAGGGAGAGGCAGCGGTAAAAGCACATCCTCTCTCATTTAAGGCTGTCCTTTAAAAAAAAAAAAAAAAAAAAAGAGGGGGAGATGGGGTGGATAAAATAACTCTGCTGGGACTTCAGCTCTGCATTGATATCTAGAAAAATGAGATTGTTTTAAGCCACAGCTTGCTTTGACATAGTGTGTCTGCCTTTGCTGTGCTACCATGCTACTGTTTTACACCTTTTTAATTTCTTTCTTAGAATCGATCTACCGCCGTGGAGCCAGAAGATGGAGGAAGCTGTACCGAGTCAATGGGCATTTGTTTCAGGCCAAACGTTTTAACAGAGTAAGTACTGTTGCATGAAATGTTGCGTTTTAGTAATGTTCTGCAGATTTTGATTTCAGAGTCCGTGCTTTTTTGTATATGCAAAGGGTGAAAAGCAAGATGCTTATTCATGTGACTTTTCAGTCTGTGCAGTCTTACTCAGTACAGAAGAATCAGAAAAACTTGCAAGTCTTTGATGCTGGTGTAGAGTTAACAATATGATTGGATGAATTTCTTTATGTTTATGTTTTCATGAATATTTAAAAAAACACATACTGTTTTGCATGCAGTAAAAAGAACATATAGTTCTGATACTAATTAATGGAATATATGGACTTTTTTGCTTGGGATTAATAATATTTTTATGAAAGATACTTTTTATATATTTGTTTTATAAAATTCCTACTAATGGCCTGTGACTCTTAAAGTGCATGTAGGTAAAGATTATTCTTAGTAGAGGCTTGAAACATTTCCTACTAGAGTTCTCCAAAATTGTCTTTTGGGATTCTTTTTATGCGTATTAATGTGGTCCAAATTCCTTTGTTTTTGTTTATGTATTGTCTGTATATCTTGTCATGCAAATATGAGGCTGTGATGAATTTTTCATACTAGAAATTTTATTTTCTTAACATTCTGTTAAATAAGGAGTGCATTTGGCTAAATTCTAAGCATGGAATATGACCTTCATTTATTAAAAAGATATTTTGAAAGAAGGCATGGTAGATTTTGTTACTGAATATTTAATAGGAGGTGGATAGGATAGGTTCTTTCCAGATAAATATCAGCCTATAGAAGTGAAGAAGTGATTGAAACTGATAATGTGCATTCTGGCTTTTAGAGAGCATACTGTGGCCAGTGCAGTGAAAGGATATGGGGTCTTGGAAGGCAAGGCTACAAGTGTATCAACTGCAAATTGTTGGTCCATAAACGTTGTCATATACTTGTACCACTGACCTGCAGAAGGCATATGGTAAGTCTGCATTCCGTATAAGGCTGATATTTTACTATGTGCTGTTTTGCAATTTCTAGCTATGGATCTCAAGTAATAAGCACTCTGTAATTATTGTGGATCATAACATTGGAAGCAGTTGCTGGTTTAGTTTCAGTTTCCAAAGTCTCTGTGGACAGGTCTTTGTTTTCTCACTTTAATGATTTAAAGTTTGATGTGATTTAAATGCTAGCAAGGTTGAGTTTGAATTTTCCAGAAGAAATAATGCATTTGAAACAGAGGTAAAGAATTGATGGAGAACCTTAATATTTATTCCTTTGTTCTTAAAACATTTCTACAATATAAAGGCACTGGTGTGTTTCGCACCACTGGTTGCAAAAAGGCTTTTGTTGCTTTCATGTTTTTGTGCATCTCAGTTTCTCCATCACTATCCTCTTCTCCATCATTTCCCTCATATTCCAGCAGCAACTCTAATATCTTTCCTAGGCTTTAAGCTTTAACCTCCTTTTTTAGCCCTTCCCCACACTTGCCACAGACTATAATCAGTGTAACTTATGTATTTTGCAAGGATTCAACCATGCCTTCCCAGGAGCCTCAGTTAGATGATAAAAATGATGAAGCTGACGTTCCCTTAGAAGAGACTGATGGAAGTGAGTATTTTTCCTGTTAGGATACAGTTTGCATGTTATGTTGTTTGAATAAGAGTATTTGTGTACGAGCATGGTGCTAGGTCCAAAAATCTGTGAAAATGTAAGTTTATATAAAATGTTATGCTTGTGAAGTTGGTAGTAATTTTTCCTGCAACTCCCTTGGATAACTAAATTCAGAGGATGTGGTCTTTAACCTTGAGATTTGGTTTTACAATTGCCTTTGTGTTCTGCATGGTAAGAGTTAAACTCCCAGCTGGGTTGCAGCAGTAAGGCTGTCTTTATATTAACAAGTAGTGTAGTGTGATGTATTGGGTCTGTAGAGCAAAACAGTTTGAAGAGGTGAGGCGTTTTTTATTTTTATCTACATTTTTTGGCAGTTTGCTTTGGACTAGCTCTAATTTAGTTGCATAGACTGAATATCCATTAAGGACAGTAAGTTTGTGTCTGAAGTACGTCATTTTGTTCAGGTTCATCCTAAATTTGTATGTGCAGAAACTGTTCATAATATGAATTTAAATCATGCAGCAAGTGGCAATAACAGGAGATTTTTCTCTTTAAAGAAAGAAATTGCAAACTCTATGCCAATGCAAACTCTAATGCCAATGTAAGAACACCTCAAAACTTGTGTTTATATTTCTTAATTTTGTGGATTTGAGTTTTTTTTTCCTGCATCAGTATCTTAGTTCTGGCTGCAGTGCTCTTAGGAGCTGTTGTTAGGATTAGAAGACTGAAGTAGAAAACTTGACCAGTAAAGCAAACTTAAACCTAAGCTAATTTTTTTTTTTTGAGATTTTTAGCAATCATGCTACTTTGGTTTCTTTTCTTTAATTTGCAGTTCCTTACTTGCCTTCAAACCGGAAACATGACAGCATTAAAGATGACTCTGAGGTATGTTTTTAAAATTGGATTGTAGTCTATAATTGCACATACTCTTAAATGTAAGATTTTTTTATAAATAGCTAATTATTTGCCCTGTATTTTTCTGTTATCATATAAGCAAGAAGTCTGTCTTTCCCTCCTGACAACTGGTATTTTTGCAACATTTTGACTGGGTTTTCAGATTTCTTCTGTACATGGCTCTTACTCTCCCAATCATGATGCAAGAAAAATGCCCTTTTTCTTATTCATATTAGACAACAGTGATTTTTTTATCAGGGGATTTGAGTTTGTTGCCCCTTGCAACATACTGTGGCTTTTGTCCTGTCTGCCCTTTCTAAAGGAGCTATACCTCTCATCCTCAAGCTAATATTGCAGAATTGGATGAATTTGATAATACATTAACTGTCCAGTTCTTTGAAATGCTTCACATAAACAACACTCTATTAATTATAGAGAGATCATGTGGAAATAAAAATAAAATAGCATATACTTGTGTTGTGATTTTGGCCTTTTGGAGCATATCTGGTGTATTAAGAATGTTTTTCCCTTAAAGCATTTTGAAAAATCCCAGCATACTTTAAATAGTCCCATATGGCTCAAAGAGCTTTTTTTTAAATGCTTCTGGCATATTTAAAGTAAGTACAATGCACTTGAAGCCCTAGGAGGCTGCTTTCCTGCTTTCAACAAGCCTGCACCTTCTTTTTTCTACCTCTACTACAGTCCATGTCAGTATCACTCATTCACACTTCAGTAGTTACTGCTCTTGGGCAAGTAACTGCTTTATTTTCAGGCATGTGTCTTGAGCTTTTTTTTTTTCCTCGAATTCAGAGACAGAAAGGTATAAATTTGAAACACAGAATTTTAGTTCTCTGGAATTACTGACTTATAATGCTCAGATGAATAGTGTTCTCATTTAAATTTTGGGTGCTGATATTGTTTAGCCATTCTGAATTTTTTCCTCTCTTTTGGATTTAGTAAAATAATTGAAGGTATCCTGTAGAGAGCACATTGCACTCTGGGAGCTTTGCTGGCTAGATCTTTAAGCTTAGAGCAATCTCTTCTAATAGCAGTCAATCCTAGATCAAGATTCTTTATATAAACACTTTCCATAGTTCAGCAGAATGTTGATCTGACCACAAGTACAGTAGTGTGAGGTCAGATAAAAATAGACCATCAAAGTATGTCAAAGCATTGTATACATTGGTAACGCCTGGGTTGTCAAAGTGCATGTTGTACTTGGTCTAGTTCAACTGCTCAATCGTCAGTCTTAAATTCTTAAATCTTAAATTCTGACAAACCTAGACATAGGTTCTTGTTCCAGGTAGTAGATAAAAATTATCTTGGAAAATAAATAATAAGGTTGTGTTCTCCATAGTGGAGTGTTTTCTGCCAATTCTTACTCTTGAGAAACCAGCATCTTCTGCATATTCCCAGAAGCTGTTAGAAATCTTAATTTTCATTAAAAATCTAGTGAATTTGATATGGATAGGAGTTGCTTAGACTCAAATCAAGGCAGCTATATTCATCAGGAATTTGTTTGCATGTGTCTTTAACTCTTAAGTTCTGCAGCATCAGTCAGAATATAAAAGACAGAATTTGCACGGAGTGAATGGCTTTTCTGTGTGGTTTACAGTTTGAAAATTTGAATAAAAATTGATTTCTTTAGCCAGTGCCTTTCCCTTTCTAGTAGGGAATATTTAATCATTCATTAAATTACTGCCATGACAACATAGCATTTCCTAATAAAAGCATGAATAATATTGATAAGAATTTTAAACTGTTAGTTTTGCTGTTCGTGTCTGTATGCCAGTAACAGTGGTGTGAAACCTCAGTAAATCTGGTCCGGTGATTAAAGTCTCTTTGCTGTAATAGTTACTTGTTATGAAAATGTTTTTGTCGGTAGCCATCTTGTTTGTTTCTTTTTTATACAGGATATCAAACCAGTCATTGATGGAATGGATGGAATTAAGATTTCTCAGGGGCTTGGACTGCAGGACTTTGACTTAATCAGAGTTATTGGACGTGGAAGCTATGCCAAAGTTCTTTTAGTTCGATTAAAAAAGAATGATCAAATTTATGCCATGAAAGTAGTGAAAAAGGAATTGGTTCATGATGATGAGGTAAAGTCTCTGTTAATTGTAATCCATTCCATGTCATAAAAACTTGGTACAATTTAACAAAACTCATTCAAGTAAGAGAGCAGATGAAATTTAGACAGTGTTTCTCTAATAGTTTTACTGCTTTGGGAACCAATTAGTGTGAAGAGTAGTAGTACCGAGATTAAATCTGATAAATGTCCATTACTTTAATAACCTATAACTATTAATAAAGATTTCTTGAGAGGACTAGGTTGGTTCATTACTCTTGTGAAAATAATAGAAAATAAATCACAGCAAATAAGGAAGTCAGATTGGGCCATCAGCAATGGCACTGGACTGAAACATGCAATGCTTGGTATTGGAATGGACTAGGGTAGCTAGAGTCATTTGTATCAAAACAGCCCTGGCAGCAGCTGTCTTGAAGACTGGACAGAACGAAGAAAAAAATACTAATGTTTTTAGGCCACCAGCTTCATTGGAATGGTGGTCTCTGCCATACTGGTTGGGGAGTGGTAGAGGATTATGTGAAATATGACAACTTAAAATACTTGATACAGACAGAAGTTTGTGTTGCCCTTGTGGGTGAAATTCTATGCTCTAATAATCAAAACAAAGAATAGATTTGATCTAGTTAGGAAATCCTTGTGCAACTGCTCTTAGAATATAGTTTTTTCCAAAGAAATGAGACTTTTAACCAGGCAATGTTATATTACTGTTATCGTCTTAGGAAAACTGGGTTGCAGAAAGTGAAGTGTTGTTAGTGTAAAGGGGTAGAATGAAGTGCTGCTCATGTTGATGGCTTTATTGAGGTTCTCTAGCAGCCATCTGTGTCATTATTCCAGAAACTAAGATTTAGAGAGTAAGGTCACCAAGTTTTTCTAAAACAGTTTTCCCTAAGAATCGAAATGGATGAAAGAAGTCATCTGATTTTCAATAGCAGTTTTCATATGCAGTGACATGGAAGGAATTAGCTAGTGTTTTTATTCCATGTAAGTTAAGCTATATAATGGAATGGTGGAAATTGATAGGAAATTTATTGAGTTCTGTGAACGCATGAGATATTGCAGGTGATGGAGATTTCACCTCATAAGTCCTTATCTGCTGTGTAGTTATTGTTAAAGCAATATAATTAAGTCTGCCCGTGATTTATCTATGATGGGTAATATCAAAGACTAATGCTTTCCCAAAAAGACTGAAGCAAGTAAAATATCCCAGCTGCTTGTGTACTTCAAAGTCATGTTGTACTGGTCTTCTGAGGAATTTATTCAGTAAAAACAACCAAAAAAGTTTCATTAAAAATCTTCATTTATGGCTTATCTTTGGGCCCACATTTGCACCTTCCAAGATGTTATGTCTTGAGGAGCCCATAAGCAGGAAACCCAAACAAATTTATTTGCATTTGATGATGACACTTCTTGACAACGTAGGAGATTTTGATTGCTGAGCCAGACATGTCCTCAGGTTGAAATCTGTGTTTTTCCATTACACAGTGTTTCCACTAATTATTCCAGACAGGGAGGCCTGGCTTCTCAGTATCTCTCTTGGTTTTTTTTCCAGGTTAGTTCAAGATGTGAAGTGTTGGCATTTCAGAGAATTAGAGCAGTGCTATCACTAGTTCATTGGCATAGCATGGAGTGTTTGCAGGGTGGAATGTAATTGGTGCATTGCTTGAAGACTGTGTGTTAAAATCGAGTTGTCCTCAAGGCATATGAGCAAATGAAGTTGATTTGAGCGTTTTAAGATGTGGAGTTTCTTGCTGTTCTTTAATTACTGGCCTGAATTGATTCAGCAACTCTAAGGTCACTTATCTATGATAATTGCATGCAATTCTATCGGCCAGTGTAATCAATGTATCGCAAATATTCTAGATATGATGTTTTAAATGCGTTTAAAATTTGTGCAGACCTTTCTAAATGGTTAAGGTATATCTGATATAATTAAACTTAAATATTTTGTAACTTCCAGTTTTAGGGGCTTTTTTCTTCCCGAAGAATGTTTGTAATGTTTATAGTATGTATAAGGGAGGATAGGTACTCACCATTTCTTTTTTGGGATTACCAACAGCAGACTATCCATCAGAAGTTCTGATTGTTCGATTACTTTATTTCAGGATATTGATTGGGTACAGACAGAGAAACATGTGTTTGAACAGGCATCCAGTAACCCGTTCCTCGTTGGTTTACATTCATGCTTTCAAACAACAAGTCGGTAAGAACTGAAATTATTTTGTCTTGAAAGTCTTTTTTATTTTCAAAAATAGTTAGTCTAGTGTATCAGTCCTGCAAAGGCTTGAGTGTTGTTGTGTGTTTTTCTCCTGAAAATAGCAAGGGCTCCTATTACTCACACCCTTCACAGTTGGGAATGAGTTGACACATGCAATTTTAAATTGCAGTTTTTAGTAAGGCACTAGATGCCACTAGATGGGAGAAGAAATTTGGAAATGGGGAATATCTGGGTTGTTTTAGCAAGCTAAACTGTTACAATTGTCACTATTTATTTTATCCATGAATTACTTGCTTTAGTCTTTATTCCTTGGCAGAAGCCACTGAAGGGTGTAATGTATCCAACAATTGTTCCTAGTTTACATTTTTCCATAGAATACCTAAGGGCATTTTAAGTGCTTCAAAGAAGTATTTTTTTAAAGAAGGATGTGCATATAAATAATTACCAAGAATATGTTTTAAAATAATCTGAAACTGTAATAACTGAACTGCTTTCCAAATACACTGTGTTTTTGTTGAAAGGAATTTTCAACTCAAGGAAACGTAGGTGTATAAGGAATTGCTGTTTTCTGGGACAGCTTCAACTTTCATAAGGTCTTGCTCAGCATGCTTCTATTTTGAAGGTCTCTCTGACCTTGGCAGCATTGCCACCATTGTATTTTCCCAAGGATGAACCATTCTTGCAAAATATAGAAGTGGTGGCTCTTGGTTCCATCTATATTTCTTAGATAAAATTCCCCATATGGTTTTTCCATCAATCTCCAAAAATATATGTGAACTTGTAGAACTTCTTGGGTTGTACAGGAGCATGCCTAATGTCACCCAGGAGTCTAAAGTGCCTTGATCGTACGAGAGTCCTTAGGCATTCCTGTGCTTCTTCAGAGTTCTTGAGTTGAAGTTTCTTGTGCATGTGTGATTTGGCTGTCTAACCTGTTGGTCACACCAGCTTTAGTTTTCAGTACAGCTAAACAGTGGATGTACATGAATTGGATTTTTTCACACTTCAAATCATGTAGGCTGAAACTGCCTTTACAGACAAAACTGAGCACTTTCTCTTCTAGCAATGAATATATGCTAAGCATATACTATGAATGGCAATTCTCTGGGTTTTTCAGTCAGCTTTGTGGTTTTCATCTGCTCTTGTGACATTACTGTATGCATTTCTTCCCATTTACTGGGAAAAGTGGACATCGCTTTCATTAGTTGTGTATCTTTTATGTTGTTTTAGATGGTTCTGCAGATTTCCTTTGCATTTAGTCCAACTTCTTTTTATATTTTCATTTGAATGATGGTTATGATCCTCCATAATATAGGTCAGTTATGTAACAGGCGGGCTTTTGTTTGCTTATTTTTGTTTTGCTTGATTTTTTTCTTGATTTTTGTTAGTCTGAGATGAAAGCTTAGTGTAATGCAGGAATGAAACTGGCTTAAATGAGAAGACTAGGTGGGAAGGGAAGAGTGATTTATATTTTTCTTGAGAGCTTCCTTGGAATATCTTAATTGTTTTATGTGTTTTTTCAGATTGTTTCTGGTCATAGAGTATGTAAATGGGGGAGATCTTATGTTTCACATGCAACGGCAAAGAAAGCTTCCTGAAGAACATGCAAGGTATTTTCTTACATTAGAACTGCTTCCTTTTTGTTATTTTTATTAGCTTGTGGCATATTAAACAGTTACAAAACTTTTCCATGAGAGGATATTAGTTACAAAGAAAAATATAGAAATAGATCCCCATTTTATTTTTTTCATTCTATTTTTTTGGTATTGAATGCAATGCTGTGGAAATAGATGTTACTTTTTCCACAGAATATGTGTTTTTTGAGAAGAAATCTTCATGTTCAGTTGCCATATTTGAAATGTTGAAGATGTAACTTATTTTGATCTTGTGTTGAATTAATCAAATGACAACGTTAAGAATGAAAAAAACTTTGTGGGGTTTAGTGCTGCAAAAAAAGTCTTGTAGTCCTTAAGCTGAAAATACAGTTTTTGCATCTTTATTTGAAATGATCAGAAACAAATAATGAGTATGCTATACAGGTTCTGTTTTCTTCATTAGTGAAATAGGAAGAAAATTAATTTGCTATGTTTGTTTTAAGGAATCTTTTTAATGTATATGAATTCAGTATTGATTATGAATAAATGTAACTTTTTGGTATTGATTAAAAAGCTGTTTGTAAGTCGATGTTTCAAGGTGTTTAAGTTGTATCAACCTTTATGTAGTCTGTTAATTTTTCTSCTTTGTTATTTCAGATTTTATGCTGCTGAAATTTGTATTGCTCTAAACTTCCTACATGAAAGAGGAATAATCTACAGAGATTTAAAACTAGACAATGTTCTTTTAGATGCAGAGGGGCATATCAAATTAACAGATTATGGCATGTGCAAGGTATGATTTTCTTTCTGTTATCTTTTTCTTTGTAATGCTGTGGGGTATATCTCTGGTAATACTTGTTATTTGGATACTGCATCCAGCAATGTTAAGTAAAACTTGGAGTCATTACACTTGTTTTCTAAAGCTTGTATTACTGAGCCGAAATTTGGTTATTGAATACCAATTTTACTTGAAATTTTACTTTTGGAAAAAACCAACCCAAGTAAACTTTTTATTGATTGTTACAAGTGATCTGGGGGAGCAAAAAAAAAAAAAGTTCCAAGTTCAGTATCCAATACAGACAGCCTGCTTTTATACTTGCACTGTATTTTAGGATGCTAGAACCACTAGAGTTTTCTGGGTAGGTTGGTTTTGTCTCTTGGCCTAATGGCTAAGCTTTTGTGTATCTTCCTATGTGACTCGAGTTAGAAAATGCAAGTTAGAAAATTGCTTAACTGCTTTTGTGTGTTCAGGAAGGATTAGGCCCTGGTGACACTACAAGCACTTTCTGCGGAACACCAAATTACATTGCACCAGAGATCCTCAGAGGTGAAGAATATGGTAAGCCAAACTAAAAAAAAAAAATGACATTGTACTCACAAGAACTTTAATTTGCAATTCATTATTATAGTTTGTTTCACATATTTTTATCCTTCATTTCCTTATTTTTGTTCCATTATATATTGTGAAAATTGAGTGCATATTGTACAGTTTTGTTGTCTTATAGCACAAATTTCAACTGCTTTAAAAAAAAAAAAAGCTCTGAAGTTTGATCCAGTGATACAATAAGCCATGATGTCCTTCTTCAGTGAAAGGAGAGGATTATGTGGAACTGGGCCATTAATCTTGTCAGTAAGAGAAACCCTAAATTCAAGGGGCCTTGGCTGAAACCTGTTCAATAAATACTTGCAGGATTCAGTGTGGACTGGTGGGCTCTTGGTGTATTGATGTTTGAAATGATGGCGGGAAGGTCTCCATTTGATATCATTACTGACAATCCAGACATGAATACTGAAGATTACCTCTTTCAAGGTATAGCCATTTTGATTATTTGGGGGTGAATTATGATGAAGCTAAAATTTGTTTAAAAATGTTAGTTCAGTAGTACCGTTTAGCTCCTTCTGTTTGCAAAATTTAAAATATTTACCATATCGTCGTATTGTCCAAATGTTAACTTAGAAAAACAATATAGTATTTCATTTAAAACTGATGGATGTTCCAAAACTGAAAATAATACTGTTGTTTTTAAACCTGTAACAGTTATTCTTGAAAAGCCAATCCGGATTCCAAGGTTTCTTTCTGTTAAGGCCTCCCATGTCTTAAAAGGATTTTTAAACAAGGTAAATGATGTTCTTTTTTAGAATCTAAGATCTGGAACTCAGGGCTTTTGTTGAAAAGAATGTAAGTTAAGAAGTTTATCTGTTTACTATTAGAAAAATCTATAAAAGCTTGGCATCTTGTCTGTTTAAATACTACTTAAGTGCTAAATTGCTGAGGAAAATTTTGCAGTACAGAACTTAATTTAAAAGCCTACTTTGCAGTTAATGATGATTGTAGACCTATGTTTATAAACTCTTTTCTGTTACTAATTATTCACTTAAGCTGATTGAAATTAGTTGAACCACTGTCACTTATAATACACAGCAGTATGCAAGTCTAGACTTTATTTTGAGGAAATGTGGCAAAAAAGTTTAAAATGAAGTTTCAAACCTACTTCATGTATTTAAAAAAATCCCTTGATAGTCTTCATCCCTGTATCTTGCCAGCAGCTTGCAGAGTGCTGGGAATGATGGAGTCAGGTAGCTGGACTTTGACAAAAATGCAGTCTTTCCTTGCTAACTGATTAAAGAGCATGTAACAGCAGTTTCTTTATTTGTTGCAGGATCCCAAAGAAAGGCTTGGATGTCAGCCACAGACAGGATTTTCTGATATCAAGTCTCACACGTTTTTTCGCAGCATAGACTGGGATCTGGTAAAAATAAATTACTTCTGTTTATGTGTTCAAAAGAAACATGTTTGTATTTTCTTAATTGTCTGTGTGTATACAAATATTTCCTTAAAGAAAAAGGAGTATAGGATGATTTTGATTCAAGTATAAAAAAAAAAAAATCCTTTCTCTAGAGAGGATAATGTAATGGATAAAAGTATGATAAAATTCTGATCTTTTTCCCCAAACTTTATGAACATTTGCAACTTATGGGTTTTTTATACGTAATGAATTATACAAAACAGTTGAAGAAGAAAAATCTCAAAGCCTTGATGGAGCCATTTATTTGCTGGTTTGTATTCGCAGCTGCTGTGAGCTCATGTGCCAGTGTTCTGCTACTGTAACATTAATCTGGAATATGTGCAAGGCGCCTGCAACTGTAGCACGTAGGACTTGTGCAGCTCAGGGTGGTTGCCTTGTATAGTCCTGTTTGAAAGCACTTCCAACTCCTTTGAGGAAAAAAGGGGATCAGCAGAGGTAGCCTCTGGGAATGCCATTCTAGTACTTGTTATTTTCTGTTGCTTAGAAGCCTTTTTACCTTGAAGTTGTAGTTGATTTAGCCAGCAGATTGGGTAAGGTATAGAACCAGTTTATACTCAAACATGGAAATATGTTACAACTCAGGGTAGTTTATTTGTAATTCACATTAAGAGACTGAATTTATAAATTGTGTAACTTCAGATCAGAAAGATTTTTCAAGAATGTAGTAGGTTTTATTTAGATAAATAGGATCATGCCTTTGGAAAGGAGAAGAGAAAAAAGAGAGATGAACCTTGAATAGCTTAAGCAGTATGATTATTTAAATGATTATTGCCTTCAGTTGGGTTCTACTTGTTGCAGTTTTACTGCACTTGGTATAAGGCAAGTTTTAGGCTCGTGGAGTAGACTGCTTACATTCCTGTGGCTTTGCAGGCAGAAAATGGTATTAAATTTGTAACTTTTTAAAAGCTTCTCTTGGTAATAATTGCGCCTACTTCAGTGTTCATTACACAAAATCATCGCAGAAACTACCCTGATTGTTACATTGATTGTTTTATGGTTAAAGCATCAGTGAAGTCAGCAACACTACTGCTTTTATTACACTTTTAACATTTTGTTGAGCAGTGAAAATAGATGGCAATTTTTTTTTGCCACTCTTAAGCCTTAAGAAGGGTTACCAAATGTAAGCAGCATTGCCTGTAACAGCAGGAGAGGTTCAAGGAAGAGAACTGCACAATTACTACTTTGCTTTGCGACATAATGTTCAGAACTTCATCGCTGATGTTCTTAAGAGAAGACAGGGCATTATATGTGAAGCCAGTGTTTTAATATACGTGCTGTTTTCAAAGATATTCGTATAGGGAGTCCTTAACTTTGTCAGACATCCTTTTATTTTATGTAGCTCTCAAGCCTGGGTTATGTTCCATTATGCTACCTACCTAAAGGTACTACAGTGCTATATGCTATCCCTAACATCATGCACTGCAGTTTTATTCAGTTTTTCACGTTTTTGAAACAGGCTATTTATTTGGCCTTTTTTGTATAAAAAACCTAAGTTTCAACTGGCTCTTCTTGGGCAACACTTGAACTGTGTTAACTTTAGTTATGATTTTTACCTCTTTGAGAAGTTTGTTAATGTGTTGAGACTTACTCCGTGGTATAGTTCACAACTCATACCTTTGTAGTCATTCTCTTCAAACTTAAGTGCAAGTTTTTTGATTACCACATTTTCAATGTTTCCTCAGTGCCAAGCAAGTGCAGTGATATGTTCTAGCCTAGACCAGCTTTCCTATCCACTCTGTTAATAGTCTAAATAAATAATCACTTTGGCCAGTGCTCTTCACCTATCACTTGCATTGTGTTTACTATTTATCTCAAGTTAGATTGGGGCGAGTGTAGGTTGTTGGGTTTTATTTTTTCTTTGAATACATATCAAACATAAAAGCATGCCAGGATAGATTAATCACTCATGTTTAGCAGTATTGTAGATACAGACCGTCAAAGAGGAAAACCTAATGAAAGTGTTTTGTTGTGCGTGATGGACTGAGCTGGCAATAGTGTGTACATTTCCTTTCTCAGCTCACACATATTATCGTGTGTTCTGACTGCATAGCTTGTTCTGAGTGATACTAGATGACCTTTATGGTGTGCATAAGCTTGCTATTGAATTTCTTGTGAGAACACAGTATTAAATCTCCCTTCTAGGGTAATATATTGCCTTATAGAGCCCAAGCATAAAAGGAAGGAAAATATTCCCATACTAAAATATTGGAATAACCCCTGCAGAAAAGTTAGTACTTCTGATAAACTCACATAAATAACATACATTACTGACACAGACATCCAGACAGGAAGCTTTAACCTCATCTGTTTTAGAAGTTTGCCTTTTTTTCAATGTATCCATTGAAATTGTTTGTTGTGTACAAACAGTGAATAGAAACCTAAAGATTTTTTTAATCTTAGTGGGGGGAGATGYGCAACCTGCAAAACTACCATTTCCTTAAAACTCATCTTACTGACAACTGAATAGTAATTAATAGAAAGTTGGGATTTGCTTTTGCATGAGCAGATACCAAGAGCTGTTTCAGAAAGTTAAGAATTACAACTGGTGCTAAATGTTGTCCAGTATCTGTTATTTCAGAGTGGTGAAACAATCAAAGAGAGGGCTATCTACTGCTTCCTTAGCAAAAGACATTTAGTTGTTGGCTAATAGGCTGGTTAATATAGTTTAATTTTTTTATATTTGCCTAGTGAAATAATATTGTGAAACCAGAACTTAAGATTTTTTTTCTCACTCTCCATACAAAATAAAGCTATTAAAACAGTCTTATCACTTTGTTACTTAGTCACTGAGGATTTTTTTGCATGAAAACTTTTGATTTTCCATTAGTGTCAATAGGTCTTTCCAAAGGGAGTTTTGAATGTTGATTTTTTATCTGATATTTCTCTAGAGGAACGGTGACCTCCAGTGGCCAGCAAGGCTAATCCAAACTGTATATACTACGTAGGCCATAACAGATCAGAATAATGATCAAGTCTGGTAGCCTGTCTCTATCAATGCCAATACCAGAAGCTTCAGAGGAAGGTAAACCTGGTTCCAACTGCTCGGCCTACAATGTTTCTCATAGGGATAATTTAACTTCCTTACAATTCATGTAGTAGGCAATTTTCTGCCCTGTAGCATGAGTGTTGATAGAGCTTGTATAGATGTTTCCTTAAAAAATAAGGTCAGAAAAGTAGTATGTCTTGTATTTTAACCACAGTTTTAAGTATGAACGTCTGGGGTCATAAACTCCTTGCAGTAAGATGGGGGATGGAGGGAGGTAAATAAAGTTCGCTTTGTGTGATTTAAAAACCAAAACAGCAATGCAGAGAAGGCAGAAAGAATCATTTAAACCAGAACTTCATTCTGAAATAACTAGGCAATTTATTCTAGAATCAATGGCATGCACTGTTACATGACCAGATTTTTTAACAGTGATTAAAGTATGAAATGCAAGATAAATATTTGCCTTCCTCCAAAATATTGTTTGCCCATACATGAACTCACAATTTTGCACTGGAAAAAAAAAATTCACACCATTTTCAAGGATTTTCTTAAAGACTTTAATATTGAATTTAGTAAACATAATACTAAGTCGGGTAGCCTAATCATTATCAGTGAAGACAAAGCTCTTGAGCTTGCAGAGACAAATATTTCTGAAATGGTCTCTAGCCTATGTGGAAGTTTTGAGTATCATTTAGCTGTAAACTCTTATACAAGCATTCTGTGTTTGTTTGCTTATGCCACACTACTGTTCTTTTATTATTATTTATTTGGGAAGGGAGAGGAATAAACTGGTACCATGGAATCTGTGTCTCTTAAGGATCTAAGCAAAGGCTTCCCTCTTTCAGGAATTACCAGCATCACCTGTCACAAGTTATGCAGTGCATTCATATAGGTGCCTGTGGGAGATGTTGCTATTTGGGATTTTATCTTTGCATTTGATATGACTTTCAATTCTGCCCACCCTTCCCTTGCAAGGGAATCTGTGCAAGTGTTGCATCCCTGTTATGATACAGCTCTGAGAGTCTCCCTGTATATTTTTACAAAGCCCATAGCAGTGCAGCACTTTAAATCTGTAATTTCTAGCTAGATGACCTTTTGAACGAAGAGGATATGTGATAATAAGCAGAACACTTAGTTTGGGAAATCCATGCTTATTCTGTTCTCACTTTTCAATGTACATAGTTACAGCCTTGTTAAGGAGCTTTGTATGAATGCAGGATTCTAGTTGTGCAAACCTTTTCCAGAACTGGTTATAACTAGGAAGTCTATGAAAATCYATGGTTTTATCTTATTTTTAAGATATGRTTGCAACTGAGTAAGATACTGTGGTTTTATCTTTTGAATTGATAAATTGAGGGCAAACTATAAATTTCACTTTTTTTCTTGTTTAATATCAACTCTTGAAATTTTTGCTGCAGGAATTGTTTATTTTATAAAATACATTTAGGTTCCAGTTATCTTAAAGCAATAGTACTTTTAAATTTAGCTATAAGGGGATAGGAAGTTAAACATTGTACAGTTCATTTGCCCCTTACAACACCAATCAGTTGTGACCCTTTTCATCAGTGTTTGCTTTTGATAGGTATGTGGAGCTCTAAGATATGATATTCTGTTTCCTGTGAAAACAAGCATTAGGGGGTGGATAAGATAGAATCAAGCTACCTGCTTAGTGAGGGAAGATGGGAGGGATTAACCTTTTTCCACTCTGTATCTCAGAGGCAGTTGTCTGATGAGGGCACTTGCATTGGCTGACAGTCAGTAGTGAGATACTTCTGGACTAACCTTGCCCAAACCAAGAGTTCCTAGAGAGACMCGAGTTTTGTAGGAGACGGGTGTGTGATCATGGGATGGGAGGGAGAGAAGATGCAAGATGTTGGATATGAGGTTAGTATTTTGATTAGTATTGCTGAGAGACCTGAGGCCAGAATTCAGAATTACTTATTTCTAAAGTATTAATTTTAGTTCATCCAGGTCAGAATCTGAAGTCATTACACTGGCTTCTTCAAGGAAATAGATTTTTTTTTTGTTAGGCAACTTTCAAATGACAGAGTAATGCCAAGTAAACTTAGAACTTTAGAAGAAAAAGATAATCAGTTGCTTGTAATTTTAACATCAGTTTCTGAGCAGATTTGTCTTTAGGGTTATAACATTTTTTATGCTTAGCAATTATGATAATATATTCATTAAAGTAGAAAGATTTCTTCATGGCTACTGTTAGTGTTTCATGCCTCTCACCATTTTTTAAGTAGATGCGATGACCATCTGTTAATTATGAAAGATGTTCTTGCTTGGTAGTAGTTCCATTCTGAGTGGGTGCTTTTACCAGTTTGCTTGCTAAGGAATACAGATTTCTTGGTTATTCCACTATTTCTAACTAGTAAGGCAGTACAATGCATAAAACTACAGGTTATGTTTTAGAAAGTGCTCCCATACATAATTTTTCTATAATAATTAATGCTGTCTTTTTTACCTCTGTAACGCTGCATTCCTGAACTCTGTATGTGTGTGTATTTTTATATATACTTTTTAAAAGTATACAGTGTGCCCATAATATACTGGCAGCCATGGACACTAGTACTTGATCAGTCATCTTCCTGTAAAACATGTAGACATTTGTAAGACAAATCTAACTAAAACGATACGAAGAACTGATTGGATCTCTCTGAAATGGCTTTGAATTTTAGCTGTACTAGAAGTGTTTCAAGCATTTGCTGTACTGTTTGCTTATATCTAGTGTAGTTCAGTTCACATCAAGTTATGATTTAAATTCCTCTCTGATGTTTAGTACTGTTTGTCTTTTCTTGCCTTTTTTCAGAGTTAGCGCTTTGGAATAGGCAGCTAACTTTAAAATATTTTTTCCCCCTTAACCAATGTTTTTGAAGATCAGCAGAAGGAATGTGTTGCCTTTGCTTCCTCCCCATCCTTTACAATGTAAAAGAACTTTGGAGATTTGGTTACTGTTTATTTTGGGGTACAGTATGAAATTTCAAATCATGATTAAATGTGAGCTGTGTGTAATAACTTCAGGAAAATGAGTACAAATCCAATAGAATAATTAACAGACAAGTCAGATTAAATTAATATGGGCTGATTTACATGCAATGTATGTTTTCTAATGTTACCACATGAGGACTTTGGAGAGGGGGCTTATGACAGGATGAAAACGAATTATATAGTAGAGGCAAGTGATGTGAGTGGAAGACTTCTGAATATGTCCTCAATTTTAAAACTAACCCAGATTTATAGCAACAATACTTTCTTAATTTACATGGTGAGACACAGGAAACTTTCTACGCTTTTTATTTTTTATTTAATTTTATTTATTTATTTATTTTTATTTAAAAAATAAAAAAGTGAAATAAACTTTTTATTAAATCTGATTTTTTTCCAGTCCAAAAGACTTATATTTAAAATACAGCAGTAAAACAAATAGGCCATATACCATTTAGTGTCACAATCTACTTGACTAAAATTTAATGTCAAATATTAAATGTTATTTTTCATCAATATTAAAATTAAGAATTGTGACTTGAATACATATATAACCTAGAAATGACATATGTTTTTGGATTTAGTAAATACTCAGTGTTCTATTTCTTCTCTTCCCCATTGTAATTCCTCTTAGCTGGAAAAGAAGCAAACAATGCCTCCATTTCAGCCACAGATCACAGATGATTATGGTTTAGATAACTTTGATACACAGTTCACCAGCGAACCTGTGCAGCTAACCCCGGATGATGAGTATGCTTTTCTTTTTTGTCAAATACAGTTGCATATCAAGAAATATTTACAAGTTACAAAGTTATTTTGGGTGTTTTAAGAGAATAGTGTGCGCTCAGTATTAGATCATGGGATGAGATATTAGTGAATTACTTGTATTTTCAGAAGCTTTCTTCCACTTATGGTTCTTACTGTTTCTATACCACTTTGCATACATGATTTTTTGTAAGGTATTGTTATTTAAAGAAGTACAGGAACACAGTAGTTCTAACTGATAAATTTGTATTTCTTTTCAGAGATATAATAAAGCGGATAGATCAGTCAGAATTTGAAGGATTTGAATATATTAATCCCTTGCTGCTGTCAACAGAAGAAACAGTATGAAGGCATGTCATCTGTGATGTGGACAATGTGAATGACCTTTTAAATTTATCCTTAACTACAGTATATGCATGCGAGGCTGGGAACTGTAAGATTTTGGATGGAGACCAATGATTTTTTTAAAAAATTGCTGCTGAAAGTCAAAGAGGAGACTAATGATTTTGGTGGGCGTCTTCCACTACCTAATGGTTCTTAATTTTGGGGCACTGACAAAACTGGCTACATTAATGAAGGAATTTACATTTTGTGCCTGTTTCATGAAGAATCAAAAACATTCATTGCATCCTCAAAGAAAAAGAGATTCTGAATGACTTGGAGATCTTCACTCTTTCTACAAATAATTGATGCAATGAATTACCATTTGAAGAATATTAGTGTAACATCCTGAAGAATAAATGTATTACGGTGGTGTTGAAGCTTATTTTTGATGCCTTTTTTTCCACAAGTGATACCTGTCTAAGTGTCTCAGATATATTTAAAAGGAGTTGTGTTTTATTAGCAATCAAAACATAAATTTGGGTACAAGATTTAAGTGCCTAAATGGATAAACTGCATTGAAGAATTATTACAAATTTGGAACATTCTTAAACTGGGTAAGTTCTGTTTGTTAATATTAAATATCCATTTACATATGAAACACAAAGGGCATAGCTACATGTTCATTTGCATCTATAGAATTTGGAATGCCGTGTAACTCAGCAGTGTTAACTCCAAATTAGAATTTACAGTATCAATTCCAGAATCTGTTTTAAACTCAATATTTTCAAAAGATACAGATTCAAAACAAAAAACCACCCTTGCAGGCAAGTTTCTGAAATACTTAAGCAGTGCCTACACCCACAACAATGTTTTTTGTTGTATACTAGATTTTTTAAAAGTATTTTTTATCAACAGTACAAATATATTCAGAAATAGAGCAAAAGCATATTAGAAGATAGCCTTAATGTTTAAATAGTACATCTGGAACATCTGTAACATACTTTCCTGATAAAGCACACCTCCTGCTTACATTAAACTCTGCTTGAAAATACTCAATGTATATTAATAACTGATCATCCTCCACAAGAAAGGGATGTTTTGGTAAAATGTTTTGCATCAAAGTAGTAAGTTTTTTAATGGAAAAAAAAATACCTGAGAAATTGTGAAAAGAGGAAGATAACCAGTGAATCTATTCTCTTGGAAACTGGGAGGGCAGGGAGGAAAAGGGTGGGAAAAGGACATTATGTTGGAAAGATTTAATAACTTATCAGCTTAGAAAAACTCATGTCACTACATTTGAGGACCAGTAGGTGTGTATTCCTGTCAAACTCCAGATGCTTGTAAAGATTTACCTGCCTTTGCAGGTATGAGCAGCAGAGGCAGTATTTCTTTTTGCTAGGTTTCCGATTAACTATATAGTGTGACTGGTGGGCATAGGGAAAAAAAAAGGATTGGGAAAGAAAAAATGAGAAACCCTGTGCCATGACATCTTACCTAATTTGGCATAAAATGCAGGATATGCTGCAGCATTCTCATTATCTATACATTAGCATATGCTTTTCTCAGGGTACGGCATTGCATTAGGTGCTGAACATGACATCTTCTGGATTTGCATCTGAGTCATGAGGTGCTAGGATGAGACTGCCAAGACATTTTGTTTAAAATTAACCGTCAATTAACCTACATTTTTGTATCTCCTCATTAGCCACAACTGTGTAGATCTGTGGTCATTTAGTTCTATTTAAACCCATTCAGATTTAAGTTATAGGTTTCTCTCCATTGAACGGTAGCTTTTTATATAGAGCAAGATGTGTTTTAACCAGCATTAAGTAATGTAACCAGTAAGAAATACTTGCCTCAAATGCCTGGACATTAGATACCTTGTTATGCAATGAAGGAATAATTTGCTTTTTTTAATTGTAATCAAAAGATTTAAACTTCAGTTACTTCCACCTGACTTTTCCTGGCAATTATTTAATGTACACTGAATAACTTCTCTTTGAGTATATAATCAAATCTCTTGGTTATACAAGTTAACCGATCAGTCAGCTCATGTATGGAAGTGCAGAGATCACGCTGTCCTTTGACAGCCTGAGRCATGGGTCTTAGAAATGGAAATAAGGAAGGGTGGGCAGTTATTTTTCTTTAACCTTATTTCTAGGTGGTCAAAATCTTTTGCTTGGAAGGGAGAAAGACATATTTGCAAAATAAGCATTTAAAAATACTTGATTTATTTAAAAATATAAAGCATTTACAATTTGCTGTGTTGCCAAATAGTTTCTAATTACAAGTTTGGTTCCTCATGTGCAAGTGTATGAAAAATGTTCTGTTCATGATGAAGGGGAAATTTTTTATATGAAGTACTTGTTTTATAAATAAAGGAAGATGAAGGATGTAATTAAATGTGTTTGAAAAATCTTAATATATTACAAATGGATCTGGTAATGATATATAGTTGTCTTATTTGAAAATAGTAAATGAAAAATCTAGCTAATTTAATGATTGTAAAACAGTAAATATGTTCTTGTAGTTTTGTATAATTAGTTGGGATCTTTGCTGAACAGTTTTAATTGTGCAGAAGATGGTATACTAATCCATAACAGTTAAGATCGTTTATATTCTTGCACAACTATTAAAGACTTTAATGAAAAAGTTGACTGTTATCATTTATAAGTAAACTGAGCTGTGTCCAGCTTGTACTTCTTTACTAGACCACATTATAAATTACCAAATTAACTATGGCATTTTAGCTGTATTTTGATATTTGTTTTCAATGCCTATTCTGTGGATTCAGATCATAGTTGATTTTAAATTGAAGGTACAAGTTTATTATGATAAACTACATTTCAATATTCAAGTATTTTTCTATCATAATTTGAATTTCATTTTTACTTTATGAGAAATTGATTATAAAAACAGTTGAATGATGCACAGCCGTCATTCTTGCATATAGTGCTTTGTGAAAAGAAGTTAATTTGAACTCTAAGGCTGTGACCTGAGACTTGATGTATTACATGAATAAGCCAACTTGTTTAGTAGCCTGGGAAGTGAATACTTGAGGCAAATGAACAACCTACTTTTTTTTTCCCTCCTTCCCTTCTATTTGTTATTACTAAACTATCACTATAAATAATTATTGACCGTGATGGGGAAAAAGTGCTTTTCTCAAATGTATGTTTAACTGTTACTATGCTTAACTGTTACTGTTATGATTATTTTCATTTTCCTTTTTGGAAGCATTGGTTTGGTTTGCAATCCTTAGGAAAGTTTAAGACATGGATGTATTTCCTTGGCACAGTTTTTCCTTTGAGAAAGGCTCATCCTGGGGCATGTGTCTTCGCTCTTCATTCCTTTGGTTTTACCACACTACATCGTCTGCGCTTTCAGACAAGCATCTAGCAAGATGACCATCAATATCCAATTGTGACAGCCTGCAAATAGAAACAATTATTTCAGTGAGAAACAAAGTCAGCTCAGCTAAAAGGTTTCAGATTACTTGCTAAACAGCTACATGAGATGAACCTGTCTAGCTTTAAAGTTAGCTTTCAGCTACTGAGAATGCTGATTTTAAAATGTTGGTAGATTTACAATACAGATTTCACAGAAGTCTTTTTCTAGTCAATATTTCAAACTGCTAACTAAATATACTAGCAAGGTTTACCAGGGAACTCAAATTTATCTTTATTCTGAAGTGTTACAATTATAATACTTTTGGCTGAATTAGAAGCAGGTAATTCTGGCATTTCAAAAGTGGCACTTCAAGACTCTGATTTCCATGTTTGCTTTTGTGTAGAATGCAGCTAAAACATTTTTTTATACTCCAAAGTTATTTAAAAAAAAAGACTTACATTCCATTAAACTGCATCAGACATATTGGACAGCTGTCAAGAGCTAAAGCTCCTTCGCTGTGATCTTTGGTCTTTCTATTACAGCTTTTAGTTCCAGGCATGCTGACAAGAAGGGAGTTCCTTTCTGCAGGTATAGATGTGGCCTCACCAAATGAAATGCTGCCTTCATGTGTTCGTGCTTGGGACATGCTGCTGCCGTTTTCTTTCTCTCTGCTGTTCTGTGTAGTCCTTCTGCAGGGCTGGGGAAAGCCAAGAAGCTTTGCAGAGCTTTGTGCTGAGGCCACATGGTACATAGAATACTTATGTTGGCTGAGTTTACATGACTGAGGATTTGCATCCAGTTTTGAAATAACTTTTGAGCTCTCCCCAACCGTATTTTTGGTGTGGTCTTTAAAAGTTACATAGCATGCTTTCTCTGCTGTGGAAGATAAGCTTTCTGGTTCATCTGCTTGGCTGTAGACTTCAAGTAAATGGTTGGTTTGGCTTTCTGTTATCTGAGAGGAGCTAAGATCTTCTGGGTTTGGATGTTTTTTTTTGTGAAAAGTTGGAAATGATATCCATTGGAAATCTTTCATTCCAATTTTAAAGACTTCTGATTGTTGCAGGTTTTCTTCTTCTGAACTCTAAAATACACACAAAATATCTTCAGTACGAATGCAGTTCAGTCCATGTGTCAAAAACAAGGCTGTGCATAATACAGAAACTGAGAAGGGCAAACTCCATTAAAAAGTATTTAGACTGCTTGTAAAGTAATTAAGAACTTTTTCCATGCAATTTACGCATTATATCTCTTCCTTTTATATTCCTAGGCTGATAACTTTGAATGCAAATAGGATATTCTTATTATGCTCGACATAGGCTAAGGAGGGTGGAAACAAAATAATCAAGGTTGTCGTTGTTTACTCTGGATACTCAAGGGGGAAAAAAAAAATTCTTCCTTGAGGACTTGCGCATTTTTGTGTTGTGATACTGCCTAATTCAGAGCACTTATGTTTGTCATTAACCTCTAATTCTTGTGTTTGTGTAATTAACTGATGTTAGTTTGCTTTTTTCAGTGTTGTTTCTGTAGCAGAAACTAGTGCTTATGCGCAGTCCGTGTATGTATACTGGGTCTGAGAAACGTTCTGAAGCACTAAATTTACGACTGTGTGTGTGCATATGGGAAAATCCATCAAGCTGTTTTTATACCACCTATAAGCCCCACCACTGTGTGTAGTGCCTAAACAGTGAAAACCCAGAACCCATTTAAAATCTGTTCTAGATTTTCTTCTAACTCTTTAACATCATATTTCAGATCAGTCTTTTAATCATGATAACAGTGCAGAAAACACATGCTACCTTTTGCAAGAACTCTGGAAAGTTGCACACTGTTTGCCAAGTGGTGCATTTTAAATCTGGATTGACAGCTTCTACTAGTAATATCCATGTTTTTTCACATTCACTTAAGWCTTCTTTTTCAAACCAGCAACAGTTGTCAGTCACTGTCCTGTAAAGAGAGAGAGACTGCTAATTTGTGGGAGAGGTCAGGAGTGAAGGAAATATTTTCTATCAATTATTAATGTCTTTCTTAATTTACTTTGCTATAGCATTAACATGTAAAGATCCTTAATCCCTCTTTTTTTTAAGCAATAGTTTTAAAAGTGAAACAGTGCACTAGTGCAGTGCCAAATGAATTTAGTTATCTTTCAGCCCCCTTCAGTAGTAAAATCTTTGCAACTTCTTCCTTTCTCTGTACTGAGTACAAGGAAATTGTGATTGAAAATACATTTAATGCACAGGAAGCCCCTGAGAAAGATTAAAGTATGCACAGCTAGAAAAAAAAAAAAAAGACCAAATATTTTATACTATTACAGATGTATAAAGCAACTTTAAAGAGGGGATTATGGAGCTGCAAAGGCTCTTTCTCCAGGGTTCGTGAACCTGTTTCTACAGGACTTGAATCTGCTGCAGCCCCGACTGCGCGCCTCCGCCGAGCATCGCCCAGCGCCTCACGCACCAGCCGGCGGAGGCGGGAAGCGGCTGCCGCGCGATGGCCCTCCCGCTTCGCCGCCGCGAGCAGCCCTTTCCCACCGCGTCGGGACTCACTGGCGCCGCCCGCGAGGCTCCTGGCCCGGCCTGGGCTCTGTCGGCGCCTTCCTGGGTTTGAGGCGCAGCTTGGCGGCTCCTTCCTGCGACATGGATGATGCCGCGTCCCTCACGCGCCCCCCTCCGCCCCTTTTCAGGCGGGGCTCCCTGCCGAGGGGGTGGCGGCCTCAGCGGCTCGTGGGCGGGGCGCTCTTCCCGCCCCTGGGCGCCTGGGACCGGTTGGAACCGGTTGGAGACGGTTGTTCCAGCCCCCGTTTCGCCATTCCGAAGTGCTGAGGCGCGTGCTGTTGCGGGGAGGTTCGCCTCGCTCTGCTTGCTCACAGCAGGGGCCATGGGGTCGACGGCGCTGTAGCTTGCCTGAAAAGTTGCTTTTTTTTGACATCTCTGCTGTACTCTGTGCTGCTAGTAGCACCTGAGGTTCAGCAGCTGGGGACTCATCCTGCTCAAAAGTCATTATTTGAGCGTTAATTGTAATTAAATTTGTTGAAAACTGTTGCACGTGCTGTATCTTAGTATATGTGGGACCTGTATGTATGGGTTTTTTTTTTTTTTTTTGGTATGTATGTGTATGTGATTACTGTGTTTTATTTGGTATTCTTTAGGCAGGTTTAATAAATTGGGGTATTCTGTATTTCCTTGAGAGCATTGCTTGGTGCTGTAAGCAAGTACGTGAAATGAGGCTCTGATCTGGATGAAATGGCTCCGGCATGAGCTGCATTTCATTTTTGTGCTGAGGGCAACAATGTGTTACTGTGGTAAATGGGTGTTTCTGTGAGGCCGTGTGTACAGAGAGAGGTAGAGCCTCTTACTATAATCAGTACATTTAAAAGGGGCTAATGATTTTAATTTTCTGTAAGAATGAGGGTAAAAATATAGAAAGATGTGAAATGTTTGGTTATTAAGAGGAACTTCTCAAAAGAAGTAAACTAGCTGAACACAATGCTAGAATACTAGCATGGTAAGCTAAAAGGGAATGAAATTGCGAAAGAAAAGATGATAGAAAGCTAATAGTTGTGTAGCCCATATCAATATTTCTTACAGCTGTAAGGGGACCTAGGAAACCCTGTCTCAGTTACAGAAAGAGTCTTCTCTCTCTCTCTCTCTTTTTTTTTTTTTGTTGTTGTTGTTGCCTGCAGGAAGGGCAGTCTCCCAGATCTTTCCGGCAGAACAAGGTGAGCTGAATAAAAGGCAAAAGGGAAGAATTTAGGCACGGTGTGGGAAGAAAGGTGGTGATGGCAGCAGACATAGAGCAAAGAATAGTGAGAAGTGTGTATAAATGAAGCAAAAATTTAGATTGAAAGCGGCAATCAACCAAGCAAGTGCTTGAAAATTAGATAATAGAGGACAAGTTGAGATTTGATTTCACAGTTACTATTGCTAAATGAAAACAACAGAAAAAGTATTTGGATTCTTTTACCTGCTTTTGATCTTTTGACTTCCTAACTGTGCTGTGTCTTAAGTCCATTGATAATCACCACTTGGTGGCAGCAAACAACATAAAAAATCTTCTGAAAAAGGGCATGAGTGGTCAGCAGAGCTCTTTGAGGTAATCTCTATAGGCATCTGTGGTGGGGTTTTTATTTTTTGATATCCTGTAGTATTTGTGTTAATGCTTTATGTGCTTTAAGGCTCCCTAGCTACCGCTTTTACAGTCCTGTGCTCCTAAATCATGCTTTTTAGTATCATGTATTTTGTTAGCTATGACTTCTACAAAGACAGAAGCCAAATCATTAGTACCACAGTGTGGTACTGTGAGTCATGCCTTAAAATATTTACAAAAGCTTTAGTATGGGTGAGTACTTAAAAAGATKAAGTGCCAAAAATGAATTAATAAAAAGAATAAGAACAGTTATTGCTTCAGCTCCTAATTGTAAATTTTGATCTTATATGTATATATCTTTGCTATTTGTTTAACATATTTCCGTTATAATCCGTGCAGGTAGGCATATCAGTGAATGTTTGAATTTTTATTTTATCCATGATTTGAAACTAGCTTTCTAGAAGTGTTTATTACTTTTACTTGATATTTTCAGTCTGCGTATTTCGTAAATGAATAATGAAGATGGTCTGTTGAATAGATTGTATTTAGCAGCCAAATGATTTGAGCTTTCGGAATGATTCTACAGATTATCTAGGGGTTTCCTTGTAAATGGAGTGTCAGCATGGATAGTTATGTACTCTCTGCAGACTTTCACCAAGCTGTATATTCTTAATATTTACTTAGATAGTCCCTAACCCTTCTACAAATTAAGCTTCAGTTTTAACTTTTGCTCTTAGGAAGAAGGGGCTATTATAGCAGATTTTAAAGTTTTAACAATTCTGTAATCATGAAAGCCTTTAAATTGTCTGGCACACAAACCAAGTGATCTTTTCCTGGGCTGGAGGAAAGAGGAGGGTGCGAAGTGCAGGTGCCAGCATTTGCTGGGGAAGAACTGGTACATTATGGTACATTATCAACTAATCTGTCTTCTGCTATTTCTGATTTCCTACCCAACAGCTGCAGTATTGAATGAGAGCTGCTGCATTTGGGAAGAATTAGAAAGCCTGAAGTAATGGAGGAGTCTCTGTTTAAGATACAACAGCTCACAGGGAGGAGAACTTTGCTGTCAGTGTGGGATTTAGAGTGTTGGTTATTTTATAGCCTGGAAAAATTGTCATTTTTTCAGCTGTTCTTATGAAATAATCTATGAAGAAAAAAATACCATAGTTTGTACTAGGTTTTCCTCTGGGACAGTTATAATTTGTGTGCATGAGCTGTACTTTTTTAATGTACCATTTTGAGGCAAAACACATGCAGTTTTTATTAAAACTGATTTATTGCTATTGATGCTATTAGAAAGTTTTGGTGCTCTTAAAGTATCTCTGAATCTCTAGTATGTAGTGATAATTTTCTTATGCTAGATAGAAATTTTTAGAACAAATTGTCCCTTGCTAGAAAATTAAAATATGTTTTAATAATTTTAGCTAACATATGCTTAGGTGTGAATACACTGGTGATTTTCATTCTTTGTCAAATATTCTGTGACTTCCTTGAAGAATCAAGGAGTCTGCTCTATTAAATACCATTCTGGAAAAGACTCAGAAGATACTGTTAGAGTCTGAAGTATGTATATAGAGCAGAGCATCAGTGAAAGCTTCTGCAGCAAATGAACTTGCCAGTCTCTCTCATGGCAGCAAATGCAGCTTTTGAAAGAATAGCTTGGTCACAGTGTCCCATTCAGTATCGCGCTGATCGTTATCTGTTGTAGAGTGGAAATGTGACTCTATTCATCAACATAATGAATTATACTTCAAGCTAAAAAAATTATGAAATCTACGTAAGACTTTAGCACAGTCAGGAGAATAAAGATGCCACACAATTTGAATGTGAGAAATGCAAACTTACTGCTGTTTTCAGATGAAGTTGGTCGAGTGAAAGCGTTTTTGTTGGTTCTCCAATTTTGGTGGTAGGTGACATAGTCGTTTCAATGAGAAGTCATTGGCTTTGAAAGCTGTTTTCCCTGGTAGCTTACCAGGGTAGCCTACCATATTAATTTGTTAATATGCAAAGTCAAGTGTAGAACTCCTATTTTTAATTCAGCTTTCCATTTTCAAGTACAAGACCAGATCAGCACCCGTGTGGCTGTCTATACAGAATCAAGCCTACTGATGTTTATATGACAAGATGAAAAGACCTAAAAGGAGGACTGGGGAGACTGGCATGGCATTTGTGGGCACCAGGTTGCCAAGGAGGCATACTGTATTGAAACAGTTGCCTGGGAAACATTTAAAAATACATTGAATGAAAAAGCATATGTGATGTGCCCACAAGTGTTCTGTGTGAATGAAATGCCATGGCTGATGATGGCACAAAGAGACTGTTACTATTACACAAAAAAGTGCTGTGAGTGACATTTTTTTTTTTAATGAAATCCTTACCTCTTTCCATACCCTGTTTGTAGGAGGTGTGCAGAAGGAGGATTGCTTTGCTCTTGGCTGACGGATTAAAGTAAATGTAGAGAAAATGGTATGTGCAGTCATCATTATCATCAGCGACTGGAGATGGTAAGAGTAGCTTCACTTTATGTACACAACCTAAACCACATTGATAACAAGCCACACAATTTCCCTCTGAAATAATAATCACACTGCTGTAATTGCTTACATTCATATAAAGATTAAGTAGTTCTCTGAATTTATTTTAATTTCTTCAATTTGGATCAACACTTTGGTTGGAGACTGACATCTTTGCCTCATTTTGACAGGAAATGCTTGTGTAAATATAGCACCKAATTCAACAAATTCATGATGAAAGCATTTTGAAGATCTATATGAAAAAGTCATTTACCTAATTTTATGTTTGGGGAACTGAGGCAGAGGAGTTAAGGAGGAATTATCAGAAAGTACCTAAAGTGTTCACTTCTTTCTCAAATCAGACCAGATCTTCAATTGAGAATTGGTACTGGCATAAAAGAAGGATAAAGTGCTGCTAAATAAAACAGAACGAGTTATGTCCATTCTCAAAAAGACTGAAAATACGCTGTCCCTCTTACTTTTTATATATATTTTTGGTTTTCATATTCAGTCTACTCCATTAGTGTTTACCTTGATTTAAAAAAAAAAAAAAAAAAAACTAGGACTGATTTAGAAGAACTGACATTAAAATACAGTAGACTAATAGTTTCACTTTTCCGGATGTCATTTACTTAATTTTATCAGGCGCAGGCTGACTTGAATATGTTTTGTTTAGTTGGCATTATACTCACTGAACTGAAAGTATCCTATGACACCATCAATGTGGAAGGTCATTAGGCTTAGATATATCTTGTTAGGACTGGGATACCTAGTTAGAGACACCTGGTAGATGTCTGCATTCCTCTGCTGTCATCTTGCAGCTCCCAACATCTGTAAACCTATTTAACCTATGTAAATCTGTAAAGCTATTCAGGTTATTCCATGCCACTTACAGACAGTACAACTATCAAACTACAGCCTTATGCTAACCCTTCCTTTCCTGAGTGACTTCAAAATTATGCTAGTTTTGGAGTATTTTTTTCAGCTGACCTCTGGAAAATAATSTGTAAGCGGTTGTGTAATAGATGAAACAAAATAT